CTTACAACGTTGCAATGGTTACAACGTATTGAGGAAAGATCGCACCAGAAGTGGAGGTGGGGGATTAGCGTTCCTGATACACCATTCTGTTCAATACAGACCTATCTCGCTTGAGCTAGTCTCTAGTGACCCGTACATGGAGTGTATGGGGGTAGCAGTCAAGTGTGGTACTGCCGAGGTAGAGGTGCTTAATGTGTATATCCCGCCGGTTAATAGCTGTGAACCGCGTTACTTGCCTAATATAAGCCCACTTTTGGAAGGCAATAACCGCCTGGTACTAGGGGACTTCAATGCCCACCATGAGTTGTGGCATTCCGTCCTAGGTAATGACCAGAGGGGATCAGCGTTGGCAGAGCAGATTGACTGCTCCACATTTTGCACGGTAAACGAGGATGCCCCCACCCGAATAAGAGGAGAGTGTCACAGTTCGCCAGATTTAACCATCGTGTCACCCGGTCTGATAAATGACGTGACTTGGCAACCCGTCATTTCTCTTGGCTCAGACCATCTCCCGATAATCGTCTCCATCAGCAGATCGCCCGATTTCATAACCTCTGAACGCCGCACTTTCCTTAACCATGGGAAAGCCCACTGGCCCGAGTTCAGAGAGTTCACCAACCTTCGCTTCAGAGAACTGCCCAATCCTTCTGATGTTCGGGTAGCTGAAAGGATTTTCCGGGACATCATCAAAGCTGCAGCCGCTCGCTATATACCTGCTGGTCGAATACCCGAAGTAAGACCAAATTTCCCAGCAGAGGCAGCGGGATTAGCGAATGAGCGTGATGAGCTCCGACGTACCAACCCTACTGATCCCAGAGTCAGTGAACTGACAGTGGAAGTCAACCGTTTGGTACAGGAGCATAAGCGGAAAAAGTGGCTAGACCATCTGAAGTGTTGCAACATTGGAACCGATTTGAGTAAACTGTGGGTAACGGTAAAGTCACTCTCGAACCCTGGAAAAAAGGATGATAGGACAGCAGTCACATTTAACGACGTAACTGTGACTGATCCGAAGAGGTGCGCTGGCTGTTTTAACCGCCAATTTGTCGAGCACCCCGAGAGTGATAGGGCGAGGCGAAGAGTACTACGTCGTATAAGAGCTCTTCCCGCCGAGGATGTACCTCCACAGTTTACGATGGGTGATGTTGCGAATGTCATCCGAAACGCTAAGTCATCTAAAGCGTTGGGCCCGGACGGAATATCAATGGTAATGTTGAAGCAACTGGATACGCCGGGAGTTGAGTATTTAACCAAAGTCCTTAACTTGTCGTTAGCCACCCACATAGTTCCCGAAGCCTGGAAAATGGGCAGGGTGGTCCCGCTACTGAAGCCTGGCAAGGATGCCAGCAAAGGCGAATCATACAGGCCAATTTCGCTTTTGTCGCCAGTAGCAAAGACTCTCGAGGCCTTACTCCTCCCCAGTATTAGAGGAAGCTATTCAGTTGCTAACCATCAACACGGTTTCCGTCCACTACATAGCACTACAACAGCATTGCACGCCATATCCACACATATCAGTCGAGGACTCAACCAGAACAGGCCGTGCCACAGAACAGTAGTGGTGGCTCTTGACCTATCAAAGGCCTTTGATACGGTCAACCATGCCACGCTGTTCGAGGACGTTGAGAACACTACCCTCCGGCCAAGTTTGAAACGTTGGATAGTCAACTATATGTGTGGACGCCAGTCGTACGTGGAATTCCGGAATAAGAAGTCCAAGCCTCGTAGAGTGAAACAGGGAGTTCCCCAAGGTGGGGTGATATCTCCGGAACTGTTTAACCTCTACCTTTCCGGAATTCCGCGCCCTCCAGACGGCATCGAGATCGTAACTTATGCGGATGATTGTACGATCATGGCGTCGGGTCCTGTAGTTGATGACATATGTGTCAGGGTGAATAACTATCTCGCGGAGCTTGCCGCCTTCTTCCACGCGAGGAATATGAAAATATCCGCCACTAAATCGACGGCCACACTATTTACCACATGGACTGCGGAGATGAGAACACAGCTGAATGTGCAGGTCGAGGGGCATATAATTCCGACCACCAACTACCCCAAAATCCTTGGGGTCACATTCGATAGCATGTTCAAGTCTTCCGCGCAAGCCACAGCTATTTGCGATAAAATGAAAAGTAGGAACAAGGTCCTCAAGGCGCTAGCCGGCAGCACTTGGGGTGCGGATAAGGAAACCTTGTTGACCTCTTATAAAGCGATAGGTCGGTCTGTGGTTAGCTATGCGGCTCCAGTGTGGTCGGCGAATACAAGTGCAACGCAGTGGAAATGTATTCAGACCTGCCAGAATGCCGCCCTGAGAACTGCAACAGGGTGCCTCCTCATGACACCTGTGGACCACTTACATGAGGAGACGAAGGTTCTTCCCTTACGTCAGCATAATCATATGCTTTCGTTGCAGTACCTGCTTGGGTGTTATCGCGGGAGTCACCCTAACCACCATATGGTGGATAGAACTCCTCCACCCAGGCGTGTCAGGAAGGACCTGCACGATCTAGAGAGAGAGGTCCAGCGATATAAGAGAGAGCCTCTAGATCATGAAGCCTATCAAGCGGGTCTGAATAGCATTCATACTGATGCAGTCACTGAGGTAGTTAATAATTACAGTATGAATGCCATACTCGGAGTCCACCCCCCATCCATTGCAGCTGAAGAACGTCGGCTGCCTAGGCAAACCAGGGTAGTTTTGGCCCAACTACGTTCAGGATGGTGCAGCCGTCTCAATTCGTATTGGGCACGAATTGATGAGGATGTGCGGAACGCCTGCCCAGCGTGCGATACAGGCCCGCACAACACGCTGCACTTGTTTAATTGTCCTGCCAAACCTACCCAACTCCGTCCAGAGGATCTATGGCTACAGCCCATAAAGGTAGCAGAATTCCTAAACCTGGACATTGAGGAAGAACCAGATTAGTCGGAAAAAACAACAGAACGTGTAAAACTGCTACAACAACAACAACAAAAAATTTCGCATGCAGGTCCAGGTCTTCGTATAGTCCCCATATAACGGTTTTCATTTAAGTGTTAGTTTTCGGAATTTTTTAGAAATTTTTCAATTTTCTTCGAAATGGTGGAGGGTATTAAAAGTTCGGCCCGGCCGAACTTTGCTGCTTTTTTATTTGTTATTATTGAATAAAATCACACACATAAACAACAAAAGTTGAAATATTAAGCCAAGAAAATAAAAAATTAAAATCATATGGTATTAAAGCCCTACCTTGATTTAGGTAAGGTAGAGCTAATTACAATTTTGTTCTAAGTGTGCCCGACTTCTGCAAATTTTGTGTATGTACAAGGTGAGATAAAAAAAACCGCAACAAAGTCAAAAGCCATATTTTTATTTTTTTTTAAATTTTATTAAATGAAAGCAAAAAATGTCGGAAATAGCATCAAATCAAATTTAGAATATGTTTAGATTTATTCGAATTAGTCACCTTTGGCACGAATTATGGCCTTCAAACGGCCAATGAAACCGTCGCACGCTGGCCGAATGTTCCTCTGCGGTATTTTGGCTCATTCCCGGCGAAGCGCTTGCTTGAGGTGATCGAAACGTTGGTATTTTTTAGTGCCAACATTGCTTTCCAAAATACTCCAGATACAATAGTCCAACGGATTGGTATCCGGAGATTTTGGTGGTCATTGTGCGCTGGAAAGGAAGCGAGGAATCTCATTTTGTAACCATTCTTGGCTGGCGCGTGCTGAGTCCTGTTGGAATGTCCAAGGTTTGCGGCCAAAATGTTGGCATACCCAAGTCTTTAATACAACCTCGAGAATATTTTCGCGATAATATTCGGCATTTATTCTGATGCTACGGTCGATTAAAACGAGCGGAGAGCGATCATCGGCTGTTATGGTGGCCCACACAAACATCGGAGAAAAGCAAATTCGGTAGTTCACCCCTTTCGGCCAAGCGAAGAAACTCTTTAGCTCTTTTGAGTCTATTTTCTTTCTGTTGCAGTGTAACTTCTTGTACTTTTTGGAATTTCAATATTTGACGAATGGAATGCTGCGATATGTTCAGCGTTCAGCTCACGAGACATTTTTTGACCACTGCGATGCGGGTTTCGATCAAGTCGCTATTTACTTTTCGAACAATTTCTGCTGATGTTGCTGTTTTCTGCGGTGGTACGAGACCCAAAAGATTTATTCACATTTAAATGCTGAAATGCTCTAACGATAGCCACTTGTGGTTTTCCAGCCACGAATCACGAATAACTTTTTTTCTGGAAAATTCTCCCCAAAATGCTTTGGTACGTTTGTAAACAATATAATGAGCTGTCACTGAAATAATTTAATTTTAACAGCTGCCCGACGAGTGGCTTAGAAATGACAGCAGTCTGAAGTTGATTGCGATTTTTCATCTCACCCTGTATTTATTGTTTTGAAAAATAAAAACAAAATCAATGATTTCAAGAAATGTGCATTGCAGGGCGTGTATTGCAGATATTTACTAGTTTTGCTTTAAAATTGAAATATTGTACTATTTGGATAAATTTTTGAAAGAAAATTTGAAATTATTTTAAATTAAAATTATTAACAGAAATGCATATTTTTGATATTCGTGGAGAACAAACCGTACAAACCGTTGCGACAAAACAATATTGTCCTTCTATTTTGCACTAAATTTTATGGAATAATTCTAACATTCTATTCACGTTTAGTGAAGAATTAGAACAAGAATTATATGCAAAAAAAATAAAATAAACAAAACGATTTGTTGAATGTATAATTGTCTATTTTCTAGTTGCTTTGAAGTTTTACAACCTTTCTTATTGAGCATGAAATATACAACTATATTACCTAATGTGGTGTCGCTGTTCCTTAACCGCGAAAAAAGTTTCCGCGCCATCCAACGTTTTGTTAAGTATAACAGCGAATTTGTCTATTATTAGGCAAAAAATATGTTTACATTGACCTGCAGACCTATGTCACACAAACAATTGTCGACATGAACTTTGTTGCAATATATTTTGTAAAAAGATTTTGAATAAAAAATATAAATTATTTTATTATCGAATTTTAGTAATATACACAATAAAACGTTCCTTAAAGTATAACCACCAACTAATTGAATATTCCGCATGCAGATAAAAGGTGCTTAATTACATTTCATTGTTCATATGGTCCCAAAATAATGGTTCATCGACGCTTACACTTTGCGTCAGCTGTAGTCCAACAACATCATCTATATATTCAGCCGATATTCCATTCGGTTCACTAACTTTAACACACAAATCGGCGGGACTGATTATGTGACCTTTAGGCAAATCTTTAGCTGCCACCAATGTTTTCCCTAGTTTATCGCGACAGTTCATTTCACAAGGCATCATAATTTTCTCGATGGTAGAGCATTTTAAAGCGTTTCGAACGTCCGCAGATTCATCTAGCAAGGATATTATCTCCGTTATTGTTAGCGATGTGGAAGAATTCAATGTATGTTTTAAACTTTTGATTCCACATACGAGATTTTTCATTTGCAAGGGCTCTAATGAACATTTATGGTCGGAACCCTTCTGATTTCTATCTAAGGTGAAATGTCTTTCTACAATTCGCGCCCCCAGCAAAACGGCAGCTGTTGATATTTCAATACCCATTTCGTGACCTGAATAGCCAATAACTATGTTGGGATATTTCTCTTTCAACCACAAAATTCTAGGCAATTCACAATTTTGGGGTTCTGTTGGATATGAGGAAACACAATGCATGAGGGCAAAATTTCTCTTGTTGGCACTCTCCATAATCTGCACTATTCTGTCAACTGTCTCAAAGGTTTGCATACCCGTAGAGATGACAAGAGGCGTTTGCAGGGCGGCAGCTTGTTTCAAAAGTGGGAAGTTGTTCGCATCTCCAGAACCAATTTTTATGAATGGCACATTCATTGAATCCATCTGATGCAGGGAAACCTATACATAAATGTTAAGCCAAGTATTCAGTCGATGTTAAAAATGAGATCGTTGTTATACTCACCACGTCCATTGCTGAGGCGGTAAAATCAATTCCAAGAGTTTTGCAAAACTCTTGAATATCTTTATACTGTTCCATTGAAAATTCTAAGAAAGCTTTATGCTCGCCATAGGTCTTGCCCCAAGAATTAGGACCGTCATATTTACGTTGAAGTGCAGATTTTGTGAATTTTGCACTCAGGCAGGATTTTTGGAATTTAACGCAATCACAACCAGCTTCCTAATGTAGAAACATGAAAAAATAAAAATATTAAATTACGTAAATCGGTATATACCTAAAATGACAACAACAAAAAAAACAGAATTTTTGTCATTAGAAAATTGTGATAGGATGTAAATTTAATCAATATTCCAAATTTTTAGGTTGAAAGGTTAAATCCGTAAATTTTCCCACTACAGAAGCAGCAGTCAAGGTCGTCGGTCAAATCATGGATGTTACGGCCTAAGATTCTAAGTCGATTTAGCGATGTCCGTCTGTCTGTCTATTCCAAAATTTTGCACACGTGTATTTTGCCAGTAAACAGGTTAAGTTCGTAAATGATCCATGTAGGGCCACGTTTTCATATAACCCCCATATAACGGTACCTCCCTATATTCGGTATTTTCATGATTTTAGAGTCATTATTCACCTGAATTGTTTCAAATTTTGTATTTAAAGTTCGCATTGGGTACTACAACCTATAACATATGCAAGTCCACATCTTCGTATAGCTCCCAAATAACTATACCCCCGATATTTGGCATTTCGATGATTTTAGTGACATAATAAACCGGAATCGTGTCAAATTTCGTTGTTGAAGTTTGTAATGGGTACTACAGCCTATGACAAAAACCTTTGTTCCCATATTATAATGGGTATCATTTGAGAGGTATTTTTCTACGGATTTTTATTTTCAATTTTTCCCAGTTCCTTCAAAATGGTGGAGGGTATTATAAGTTCAGCCTGGCTGAACCTGGTTATTACATCTTTCCGATAGATAAAAAATGATGTTGTCGGAAATGTAAATCGTTTTTCGTTATTACAAGTTTCATTGTTCGACAAGGACAAATTCAGACCATCTTCCCATGGTACAATAAGGAGGTAGAACAGCTTCGTAGAACTACATAAAAATACAGCCCTGAGGCTATGTCAACAAGTTGTTTTCATTTATTTGATATGTTTTGTTCATTTTTAAAATGAGTCAAACAGTGCGAAAGATGAATGATATGTCTGGATATTCTCTCAAAAATGTTCAATCTTTCAATTCCATGGCAAATCTGGTTAACATCATTAATGCGTGCCCCGCAATTTAAGTTTCTTCCACATAATTGTTTTGAATATATTTTGTTTTTATTTTTCAAAACAACAAATACATACACTTACATATATTCAAGCTATATTCAAAACTATATGCAACAAGTTTTGTCATTTATCTTATATATATATATTTTTAAATATGATCCAAACAGTTCAAAACAATAAATACATACACAAAATTGGCAGAAGTCGGGCACACCTAGAAAAAAATGTAATCAGCTGCCCTACCATAACTCTTTATTATACCATGATTCAAAATGCTTTTGTAAGTCGGTACCCAAAACCTGCAAGAGTCTACTATTTTTGCATTTTTTTTTCGATTTCATAAAGGGAAAATCTGTTATCTTAGCAAAAAGTTTTACATTCTAGCAGTTCTGGAACAGACCGTTTCTTAGATGGCTAATCGGAATTCAATAGATGCTATTTCCGACATGTTTTGCTTTTATTCAATAAAATTTAAAAAAATAATAATAATTATGGCGCTTGATTTTGTTTCAGTTTTTTATCTCACCTGTATATATATTCTATGAAAATATGAATTGAAAACTAATTCCTGTATAAAGTTTTACATTTGAAATTTTTTCCATTTCACAATTTCGTAGAACATGAATCGAGCCCCAGATTTGTAAAACGTTACACAAATTAACATTGGAATCAATTCATTCAAAATAAGTAAAAAAGCAATTAACCTATGACTGGTGAGGTGACATATTTTATAATGTGGTGGTAAATGTTACCCCTCTAAATTTTACAAAAAAAAAAACTTTGTTAAAACTATATTATATTAAAACATGGACCATAGACCGTCAGCAGCTAGAGTGATTTTCAAAGACGAATGGATATCGTTAAATCGCCATAAAAATTTATGCCGATCAAGAATGTATATAATTTGTGGTGTTTCAAATTTATATTTCGGGCTGTTACAAACGGAATGAAAAACGTAATGTACCCTCCATAATGTGGCGAATCTAAAATTACTATTTTGGGTACATTTTGCTAGAGTGAAAATATGTGTGAGGCTTGAGTTTTCAAACTTCAATACAAACACTTCGAAAAGTAAGTAATAACAAGTTTTAATGTTTTTTTAATTTTTTTTAATTTTTTGAAACGTATCAGTTTGTTAAAAAAAACTACAATTCATGATTTTCACAAATTCATTAACCTTTCTCCATTGAAAGTCAGTTTCTTGAATCAGCAGTTTAATTGGCACACAATTGAGTTCATATTGTTTCTTTTATATACAAATGTATGAAGATTGGGTGAATTAAACACAAATCACATATAAAAGTAAAATTGTTTAAAAGGAGGTACAACTATAACCAAATGCAATTTGATCGGTGGCAGTTTTAAATATTTTATATTCCAGTTTATTCAAATCTATCTAATATAGACACAATAGGGACTTTGTTAGAATTTAAAACAAAAATAGTAGTTAGTCTCGATAATTACCCATGCTTCCACGATCATACGTTTTGCAACTTCTAAACTTCCCTGATGATTTTGTCCAATTTCAGCTATGACATAAACTCGGTCACCGTCTCGCTGAATTAAAGATTGACCGAGTTGTAAGAAGACCATTTTCATCACTTATACTGTTACGTGCTTTAATGAGGGTTTCCGTTTGCGCTGATTAGCGGCAGCTGTCACTGCTAATGTACGCTAGTCTTGCAATCTTCAACTATTGGAAATCAATTCGATGTTTGGTTGACGAATCAACATAAAAATCGATATGCAGATAATAAGTGTATTTTTCGGTAGTTACCACAGTTATTGCGCCATTGTAGTTATCGAGAAAAATCCGAAAGTAAAATGGCACTCTGGCACAAGAACTTGTAAGAATCTACTACTTCTGCAATTTTTGTACAAAATACTTTGAACATACTTTTGAGTGCGGTTGAGGCGCTGTGGAAATTCTAGCAATGAATGTCAAGCAGCCCTGCAATGTTCTCCATTCAATATTAGAATAGACAAGTTAGATTAGTTTCAGTAGAACTTAAGGAACTTATTTTTAAATAAAACACTAGAATTGAATCATCATCCAAACCATTCGGTTGGTTTTCTTTTCTCATCACCGAATAAAGAATAGAGTTGACAATTGAAGAGGGAGATTGGACTCTATTCTCATTACATAAAGGAAAAGTCACTCATCGTAGTAACATTTCATTTGGTCTGTTCCAGAACTGCACAAATCTGGAATTCTTGTATGTTCTAGAACATATCAATTATTTAAACATATCATTTTCTACAAGGGGGATCGAAATTAAAACAATTCTATTGAAAATGTGGCTAAAATCATTAAAATATCAAAATTTGGTATTTTGAAGTGGGAGCTATACGAAAAGGTTGACCTGCATTGACAATTTTATGCCAGACGATAGTGGTACCTATTGTGAAACTCAAATACTTATTCTGATTCTTTTGAGAAATATAAAATCAAAATATCGAATACAGACAGGCAACGTTAAAGGGGGTCTATACCACAAATTGAACCCATTGTACAATAAATATAAGGTAGGCTAACTTTTAAAAAATTACAACAATAGAGGTCTACCTGTTTGGCTTGTAATGTCAGAATTAATTTCAAAACAATCAAAATACCAAACAACCTTTTGCATTTATTTTGGAATAAATAATTGAAAACAGTGAAAACTTAATGAAAGGTCAAAATTTCTTTTCAAAATCATGTTCTATTTATCTCTAAAGGTTTATTTCGCTACAAAAACTGTAGATTTCGTAGATGTAAACGTTGCAATATGCATTTTGAAAACACCCAAATTTGAATGTTTTCAGAAAAATTTGTTTATAATTGAAAAGAATACACACACATAAGCAAATAAAGTTGATATATGAAGCCAAGAAAATAAAAAATAAAATCATATGGTATCATAGCTCTGTCTTCATTTTGTTTACCACGGTCCAACCTATATTGACAGTTCTTTGCAAGGATATTTTATGTCCGATGGAAATAACTGCCAGAGTACTGCAAATTCGGATGAAAAATAAGACTAAGGGTGCAAGTACATAATAAGAAGCTTGAAGTCATGGCTAAGCATATTTTGATACATAAAAGGATAAAAGGATCATAAAAGGATTACAAATCCTGCCGTCGTTTTCTATTATAATTTGACACTAATATGACTAGCCACGACTTCAAGTTTTTTATGTACTTGCACCTTAAAGTCTCAAAAAAAAGCTTGAATCGGGTGGTACCGTGTAGGTTTACAATAAAAAGTAAGGAACTTTTACGAAGCTGTTCCACCTCCTTATTAGGCCATGTATGTACCACATATTCAATAGCAACAAGTTAAAAAGCAGTAAGTTCGGGCCAAACTTTTAATACCCTCCACCATTTGGAACGAATTTGGCAATTTTCAAAAAAAAAATCCTTAAAAATTCTGTTAAAATTTTAAAAATACCGAATATAGCCGTTATGTTAGAGTCTATACGACGTGGACCTACATAGGCATTGTTTGTCATAAGCCATTACCATATTCATATTCGGAACTTGAAATAAACGGTGAATAATGTAGCTAAAATCATGGTACAATAAGGAGGTAGAACAGCTTAGTAAAACTACAGAAATACAGCTCCGAGGCTATGCCCGCTTCTTGTCAGAATTATCCAAAATTATATCCAACAAGTTTTTTCATTTATTTGATTTTTTTAATTTCTAAAATGAGTCAAATAGCGCGAAAGTTGAATGAAATGCCTAGATGTTCTCTTAAAAATATTATCCTAAATGTTCAGTATTTCGATTCCATGGTAAATCTGGTAAATATTATTAATGCATGCCACGCAATTTAAGTTTCTTCCAATAATTGATTTTGAAAATATTTTGTTTTTATATTTGAAAACAACAAATACATACACAAAATTGGCAGAAGTCGGGCACACTTAGAAACAATTGTAATCAGCTGGGAGCTCTACCTTACCTTTTTATTGTACCATGGCTAAAATCATGAAAATATCGTATATAGGGAGGTACCGTTATATCGGAGCGATACGAAGACCAGGACCAGGCTGTGGCATCCATTACGAACTTCAAATACGACATCTGAAATAATTTCGGTGAGTATTGTACCTAAAATCTTCAAAATACCGAATATAGGGAGGTAGTGATGTATGGCGCCTATACGAACACCTGGACCTGCATATACAATTTTCTGTCACAGACTGTAGTTCCCGTTACGAACTCTAAAAACGTAATTTGAAACTACTCCGGTAAATAGTAACCCTTAAATCGTTAAAATACCGAATATTGGGAGGTACTGTTATATATGAAGTCGTGGACCTGCACAGAAAATTTTCTGTCATAGGCTTTAGTATCCATTACGAACTTCAAATACCAAATTTTAAACAATTTCGGTGAATAATGTGGCTAAGTTAATATACCCTCCATAGTATGGTGGAGGGTATAAAAACGTTATTTTTAGGAAGCTAAATTGATTTAAAAAGTCGGACAACCATTATACCGCTTGTAACTCCGGAATAAGCATTTTAACCTCCCTCCCTATATAAAAATGAACTCTGTACAATTATAAATAATAACAATTGATAGACGTTTGAGGTTATTTTCCTTGTGTATGTCTTCAAAATCTGGCAAAGTTAAGATGGGAATACATAAAGCGCTTATTTGGATGGCTTAAGTCACAGGCTGGTTTCTTCGGAAATGAGTAAGAGAGCCTCTACGAAGAAGCCACCCGATGACTTAAGCCAGCCAAATAAGCGCTTTATGTATTCCCCGGAGTACCCCGGGATTTTGTTTTGCACATTAGTTGAACAGGAATTAAAAAAAAAACAGTGAGTGAAGTAATGCTAAGTTCACATGGCACGTGATTCGCTAGTTCGGTGTTCGACCATTATTTATAATATTTTTAGGAAGACTGAAACTTATGAATTAGAGTCATAATGTTGAATGACGTATGTACATTGAAACGAAAGTAAATTTTGTTTCTTCTCTCATTCGAGGTACCCTTTTAGTCCACGAGTTGGAATTTCAACAGAAACCTGGAAACAAAAGAGGAAATATTTTCAAAATTTTTGTATCGAAAAAAATTTTTTTGACAAGTGATTCCCCAACCGAATTTAAGCACAGAAAAATATATGTAAAATGTCAACATTTATACAAAAAGTTCAAAACATGAATTGCCTAAATGACAGACCTAAAAGCTCAATAAGACAAAGTCTTAAATCAATCATGAATGAAAATTGTTAAATGAAAGATAAAATAAAACTTTGGTGGAAAAACAATAAATTCTTCTAATATTATTAATGCTAATTTCATGTACTTTCGACCAAATTCCTATAAAAATCAACAAACAAAAAATTCGAAAAAAAGGAATTATGTTACTATAAATTACGAATCGAGCCATATGAACGGGTTAATTCGGAATTTGCAATGGGAACATAGCATTACTCACTCAACTCAAAGTTATTTGATCCTTGTAGTATGAAAAATTAAAAAAAATAATAAATTTCTTGGCCTAGCTACTCTTTTTTAACCACTGTGCATGCTATATATTTTTAGTTTTTAAAGGAAATTTTAAAACACAATTTACACCAACCCCGATGAGCAAATTTTAAGAATTTCCAATTTCAGTGTAGATTTAAACAGTTTACCTCATGGCAGAAGAATACAGGTAGATGCATCAACGCGTGGGAGCATTGATATGTCAAAAAATTTAAATGTTTTTTCAAATATATATGTTTTTCTTACACTATGTTTTCTTATACTACGTCATTCGGAGGCAATGATAATTCGCGTTTTTCAACAATTTTTACAAATTTAAATAATTTTTCATTCAACATTTTTAATTCCAAAATTGGTTTGACAGTTCATTGTCCCAGCAGCTGTATCGACGCGTCTACCTATATTCTTCTAACATGGTTTACCTCGAGCAGTCAAATGTTTTCAATTTCAATTGAGAGCGAACAACGTGATTGAAGTTGCAATGAGAACATAGCATAAGTCGAACAATAGACTATGAATAGTCGAGTACTCGGTTTTCACCCAAGTCCATAGTCGAGTTCGAGTCTCAGAACTTTGAGTATCCAAAGTCGGTTATTCGATTAACCGTAGTCGACTTACCTATCCCTAGTCAGGCAATATTTTTTGCGAGTTATTCTTGGACGCTGTCTGCATTTCTTAAAAGTCTAAACATTAATAAATTAAAGAAGAAAACAATGGTGCGAGGTGGCATTCGAGGCGGCCGACCTATGCGTGGTCCAATACGTCCACCATTTAAGAAAACATTTGTGCCCAGACATCCGTTTGATTTAACATTGGCAGAAGTTGTGTTTCCCAAAGTTTCGCCGGCAGTGGATGATGCGGCCTTAACAGCAGTGTGTATTTATTTATTATGTGTATACCATCGACATATATTCAAATTTTTTGTCTTATAGGCATTGCTGAAACGGAATCAGGATCTTAGCCCAACACCTGCCGAACAAACTTCGGTAGGGAATCTGGTTTCGAAAGTTCAATCTGTATTGGATAATTTAATAGTGGCTCCGGGGGATTTTGACAAATGTGTAAGTATATTGGTATTACATACAAGGAAATCCAGAAGACATCACTAGAAAACTTTAACTTTGGGGAAAAATTGATTTTTGATAAGTTATTAAAACCGGCATTTCTTTTTATCCCAATAACAAAATAATCTTTTTCCGAGCAAATATTTTAATTTTCATTAATAATTAAATCGAAACAACTCTAGTTTAGTGAAAACTCTTCGATTTTTTCGAAATTTTTTCCAGAGTCAGGTATTTTTACCTTGATTCCGGGAAACTATTTTTTTCTTGGGGGAAGGACACGGGCCCTCAGATTTGTGACCCGACTGCCCGGGTTCAAGAACCGGGCTGGACCCGGATCCACTTACCCGATATATAATATAGCTTATGAAAGTGTCAAATTTAGACAACTTTGGTTCGCGTTAGCCGGTAGGACATACCCAGAGGCGAAAATCTCAAGCACCGGCCAAGGGCCGGCTACTTACAACAACTGTTAAATTTAGAATAACTTTAGTTCGAACGTACCCAGAAGAGAATATCTCTGGACCCGAAAAAGCTATTAGCACAAATTTTAGGATTTTGGAAAGGTAAGAGTGTCAGCAATAACTTGGCACCAATTTGGCCCTTTTTCGACTTTCTGGGTGTTTTAAAAAGTCCGGGACCAAAAAATCGATAATTTAACTACAACTTCCGAACCGTGACCACTTACCACATCATGTGACCACTTACCCCACCATAGGTATTTTCATAAGCTTTCTAATGATACCTATATTGTCTATATCGGGTAATTGAATACGGGTCTAGTCGGGGTCTTGAACCCGGACTTTTGGGTTAAAATTCTGGGGTCCCGGGTCCGTCCCCTAAGAACAAAATCATTTCCCAGGATCAGAGTAAAAATACCTACCACTGGAAAATTTTCGAAAAAATTGACGAGTTTTTACTAAACTAGAGTTAAGCCATAAAATCCCGGTACGCTACAGTATGCGTTATTTTCCAAAATTGGGTGCCTTGAGAATTTCTCCTCTGGGTATGTCCAACACTGACTACGCGAACCAAAGTAGTTCTTAATTTGATACTTTTTAAGTTTTACTGAGATTTTCTCCTGCGGTGCATAACCAGCACCGACCAGAGTAGAGAAATAACGACGAAACATAAATAATTAGGGAATTTCGAACTCTATGTCTCGGAAAGTAGGGGTTTCTCCCAGAAAATATTATGTTATCAGGATATAAAGACCTAACCATGTTATTATTTTGAAGTTTTTTTTTTCATAAATTGGCTTGAAAAGAGTCCCATATCCTGGAAATACGGATTCAAACACTGAAAATTCTGTTGTTGTAAGCAGGATAAAAAACCCTACCTTCTGAGTAATCCGAACTAAGAGAATTATCTGGGACCGATCCAAGCATAAAATAAGCCCGTTTCTTTTCAAATTTTTTAACCCAGATTTGTTTCCAAGAGTAATGCCTGTCATTTAATAAAGTAATTTATTCAATTAACTCATGTTTTTTTAATTTTGTAGCAACTGGAAGAAGTTCGCCAAGTTGGATCATTCAAAAAAGGTACAATGTTGACCGGTAACAATGTTGCAGACATAGTTGTGATAATGAAATCGGTACCCACTAAAGAGGCGTGCGAGGAGCTGGCTAAAAAGGTTGAGAATGACCTCAAGAATTCAATGAAAACAGAAGTATTAACCAAGGCAGACAAAATTGTTACCACTCATCATGATCGCGGATTTGATGTGTACAATTCGCAAGCCAAAGTTCGTATATTAATTACAACCATACCACCAAACATAAGAAAAAACGAAGCAAACATGTTTCCAGATGCTAAAGTTATGCATGGCCATCTGGCAGCTATAAGACATACTCGCTGGTTTGAGGAGAATGCTCACCACTCCTCAATAAAGGTGCTTATTCGCATATTAAAAGATCTTACAAAGCGCTTTGAAGCATTTTCTCCTTTATCACCGTGGATGTTGGACCTAATGGCCCATCTAACTATCATGAACAATCCATCTAGGCAAGCGTTACCTATTAATTTGGCGTTCAGACGGGTTTTTCAACTTTTGTCAGCTGGTCTATTTCTTCCCGGCTCTGCTGGTATTACTGATCCCTGTGAACCTGGACATAACAGAGTTCATACAGCAATGACATTAGAAGAGCAAGATTCTTGTTGCATGACGGCGCAAACATTATTGCGTGTCTTAGCCCATGGTGGATACAAACAAATTTTGGGTATTGAAGGAAACTCGAATATTGTCAAAGAAATGTCTGTGTGGAACGGAGTAGTTGTGTCTCCATTGGAACGTGTCTACGAAAAACCAGCCGACAAAAAGGACGGTGATGGCGACGAAGATATGGAAACAGTTGAGAATGATAATGTTATGGATGAAGACTCTGCAGATCAATAAAGAGACTTTAAAATTCAATGATATCTCATATATATGGCAATAGAAGAAATAAAGATTTTGATCGTCATACCAATAATTTAACAGAGCAATTTTAACAATTTTCCTAAACACATAAATCTTTTTAGAATAACCACTAATTGTTAAGAATTACGGCATCATTCAATGTCAAAAGTCTCATTTTTTCAATTTTTGTGTAAATCGCATTTTTATGAATGCTGCAAGAACTATGACAAAGTTGTAACATTGGTAAAAAATTCCATTCGATACCGAACAAATGTCGGTAATTAACATTTGTACCAGATTTTTCTTTAATCTAGTATTTGGAAATCTAGAATTTGTTTCCAGAGGTATGTATTTTACCTATATTCCTTTAAAGACATTTGACCAAATCGATATGGACAATGTAAGTATCATTTTAATGAATGAAAATGCCTATCCAACAAGTGGGCATATAAAAATTGTATCAAACATGTATCAAATTTAGGAAAATGCAATTCGCCTAGCCGGTGTTGGACATAATCAAATGAGTAAATCTCAAGCCACTGCCGAAGTCCAAAACAGCATACAATTAAAAAAAAAAAAAAAACTGAAATGTACTGAACATAATCTGCTCGTCCGGGCTCAGATATCCATATCTCTGGATCCAAGAAAGACAATAACATGTATTCTAGCATTTTGGAAAGGTTATAGCGTCAACTATAATTTGGCATACATTTTGTGGACTCCCAAAATGGAACCATTTTCGACATTTGGGGGATTTTTTTTAATCGGATCCAAAAAATCAATAATTTTGATGAAACTCCGGAACCGTTTAAATAACCCATCATTTGACCACTTGTTGGATAGGTATTTTAGCATTCATATGATACCTATATTGTCCATATCGGTTGAGTAGATTCGGGTCTTGGATCCGGACTTTCAGGTCAAATATCCGGGTCCGTCCACCAAGAAAATACTTTTCCGGAATCTACCTGCCTCTGGAAAAATTGCATAAAAATCGGAGAGTTTTTACATAACTTGAGCTAAAGGGTTTTTCGAAGTATTAATTTGACTGTTTGTTCTTCCAAGTAATCAGCATTATTTTCAAAATCCCAGGAAGTTTTCTACCATGAGAGAAATCTTCAATTCATATGTTTCAACTATTATAAATATGATGGGAGAAAAAATAAGAAGGATAACGACTTGCCAACTCTTGAAATTTATGATTTCGACAAATAATTCACGTTTCCACCAGGGTTCTGAAAAAAACACACTATAAAATTCCTGTTCATAAATGAGCAGTTGATGTTTTAATTTGATCCAAACACACACGAGCTGTTTATGCACATAATGGTGTATGGAAATAAAAACACTTGTAATCAATTTTATAAATCCAACGTGTATTGTTTTCATTCACCACCAGCGTTCGACAATAAAAAGTACACAAACATAGTGTACCGTACCGGTACAGTATCACTAAAAAAATTTAGCGGTAATGTACCGGTACACTACCACTAAAACATATTTTAGTGATACTTCCGGAACACAACGATGATTGTAGTGTACCACAGTCGGAACGCTATAAAATCGTAGTGTACCGCAGTCGGAACACTAATAAATCGTAGTGTACCGGAGTCGGAACACTAAAAAATCGTAGTGTACCGGAGTCGGAGCACTAAAAAAAACGTAGTGTTCCGCAATCGGAGCATAAAAAAATAGTAGTGTACCACATGCACCACATTAAAAAAATCGAAATCATAAAACTGATTTTAAACACTCAGCCATACTTTGTAAAATATTTAGTTTTTTACACCTACATTCATTGATTTTTCGGTACCACATAATAATTGGTAAATTATTTGCATAATAACCCATTACAACGCAACCACTAAAATACCGTTTTCGCTGAAAATTAAAGTTTTCAATTTTCAATGGTTAAATACAAATTATTATCACTTCAGATTTGGTCCTTTTTTATTCTTTCTACCAATTCTCATATATTTTCTTACTATCTTGTTGTTGCAAAATGGTCTGGCTTTATCCCTTTATTGTTGTTTTTATAAAAACAACGTTTGTTTATTAGTGGAGAACGATGGTAATGTTTACCAGGGGGTAAGGCAGGGAATACCTAGGTTTCAGAAAGAGCCACCAATCCTCATCAGTTCCCTTGTTTTTGTCTGGGATATTCTCCCCAGAAGTTATTTTAAAAATAACTTCTATGACAAAAAACATTTTTTACCCAAGTGACGAGATCGTAAGCTCAATAGAAGAGGAACCAAAGAATTATATAAAACTAAAATTCTTTTGGAAAGTCTTCTAAATCTTACAACCGCACTTATAAACATTTTCATCTTTCTCCACTTGTTATGCTTTCGTTTAACCTGAACGAAGTAGCATAACCATGTAAGTTGGTTTTGTACTAATAAACAAACGTTGTTTTTATAAAAACAACAATAAAGGGATAAAGCCAGACCATTTTGCAACAACAAAATACTACGGTATCCCGAACAAACAAGCCACACTGTTCTATTTTCTTACTATTTTCAATTTCGTAACCAATCTAAACATACATGACAAATAATATAAATTCAGCTTTTATTTTCATAATATACTAGTAATTTTTGCATTATTAAAAACATCAAACATCTAACTTTTCTCACAAATTGTAAACAAAACATATGTGGTACACTACCGGTACTTTTTTTTAGTGTTCCGCCATGTGGTACACTACGATTTTGCAGTGCTCCGGTTGCGGAACACTACGATTTCGTAGTGCTCCGACTGCGGTACACTACGTTTTTTATGCTCCGACTGCGGTACAGTACGATTCTTGTTGTGCTCCGGTACAGTATCACTAAAATATTTTTTAAGGGTTGTGCTCCGGTATGGTACAGTATTTTAGTGTACCACTCCACCTCGGAACGGTACAGAACACTACGGTACAGTACCATACTGTTTATTTTCGAACGCTGTTCACCATCGCCACTTTTGGGATAGCACCACTTGTTGTGATAGCATTACTTTTTGGGTGGTGAAAAAACATGGACTGAGTACGTTGATTTTCAGGTAACGCTGTTACGTGAAATTATGAATGATAAGCGAATAATATAAATATCATTAATATTTATATTTGCCTATTACAAATACAATATTATGCAAACACTTTTTGAATAGTTATTCTAAAAGGGATCCAATGGATATTTGGTGATACATACATAAATACTAGTGGACTGACAGTGTGGGGTTAATATTGAAATGTTTTTTTGCGAAAGTTTATGCAATGTTTTGAGTTTTTACGGAAAAGATACAACTTTTAATTTTTGTATGAGAGTATGCTTAGGAAAATAAAATCTAAAAGTGCAGAATGAGCTATCAGCAGATGGTGCATATGGGACAAGAAACTAGTCACTGCCTTTGTGTAAATGTGCATGAAGGGAAACGAAAATTCGATCGAATATACCAAATAATATTTAATGTTTTTGCAATTGGTATAATGCCATAAGCTTTTTTCTATTCGGTGAATGAGTTATAGTAAAATAGCATTATCGGTAAATATGAGGGTGGTGATAGTCTAGCAGCAAAATTACGAGATACAACGATTTCACCGTTTTTTAATGAAATTGAAATAAATTCATGAAACATTTAAATTTCTAGTATGTATTTAATGTTTTTGATATTGGTATAATTCGATAACATTTTTCCTATTCAGTGAATGAGTTATAGTTAAAAAATAGCACTATCGGTAATTATGAGGGTGGTGATCAGAGGGCTGCAACGAGTATGCAAAAATTCAAGCATACTCGGTTTCTTACATGATTTTTGTTGATGCAGTCGTTTAGTTTGATCTGAATGAAATGACCGTTTTCGTTTCTGATCGAATCGAACGCTCAGTTTGAATCACTTCACTCACAATCAAACATGAGCGTTCGAGACGGTTTGATGTGTTCAGCAGCATGAGTTGATCGAACACATGAATGTAAATGAGCAATCACAACCGTAATTGTCTTCTTTGAATCGAGTTCGCTCAGCGTCATTGTTTATTCAACCATTTAATCAAGTTGGGACAGTTTATTTTGACTTTTTTTGATATTTGAAATGGAAGAATATTGTGATAGTGCGACCGAAATTGTTGCAAGTAGAAACTACACAGGTGTAGGTAAACGAAAAGGTCGAAGTTTGTGAAAAATCTTGACCAATATTGTAAAATAAAAAAAAAAATATTTAAACATTTTTAGTTTTCTAAATACCACTGATGTGTTTCTTTATTAAAAAATTTAATTTTTTTTTTTCAAATAAGTCACTGAAGTCTAACATATCAAAAACCCAAATAAAATGAAAACATTGTCTGTTTATTAAATGTAATTTGCACCAATTTTTTATGGGGACAGCTTTTAGTTATGAAATCCTTTGTAAAATTACAATCATGATTTCGCTCAGTTTCGAACATTTGTGTTTTAATCAAATCAAATCACTCACTTAACTGGGATGAATCAAACCGACAAGACTCCTCATAGATGATCGACCCGTTATGAACAATTCAACACAAGTTCGTAAACAAATAACTCATGTGAGCTGTTTGATTGCGATCACAAAACTTCGATCAATACATGTTTGATCACAAGTTTTTCGTTTGGCTTGAGTAACTCGAATGAACATGTTGCATCTGACCGACTGATTGAGTTTGATTGTATTTCCACTGTGTGTGATCAAGCCTACTCAATCATACTCATTGCAGCCCTCTGGTGGTGATAGTCTACCAGCAATATTGCGAGATACAACGATTTCACCGTTTTTTTTTTTTTTTTTTTAACTAAATTGAAGTTATTTCATTAAACATTTGATTTTCGAGTATGTACAACCTTAGGTATATACATGGTACAATGAAGAGAAGGTAGGTCAACTTTGAAAAAATTGCAAGTATAGAGATCTACCTGTTTGGCTTGTAATTAGAATTACTATCAAAACAATAAAAAAGCAAACAATTTGTTGTATTGGTTTTGAATAAATAATTTAAAACCGCGAAAACTGAATGAATAGTCAAAATTTCTTTTCAATATCATGTTCTATATATCTCTTATGGTTTATTTCGCGACAAAAACTGTAGATTTTGTCGATGCATTCGTTGCAATAAGCATTTTGAAAACACCCGAATTTGAATATTTTCTGAACAATTTTTTATTTTTGAAAAAAGACACACACATAAGCAAATGAAGTTGACATATTAAGCCAGAAAAATAAAAAAATTTAAATCATATGGTAGTTCTGCCCTACCTTGAATTCATTGTACCATGGGTATATATGCAACAAAAATCCAAACATATGTGTTTTTATTATCATAGACTTTGGTCTATTTCTATGGTTCGGACTTACATCAGTCACTTGCATCGACCTTTTGACCATACCCTAGGTTATGCCTTGGAAATCAAAAAAAGCTATAATGCAAATTCTTCTGGGATTTTTGCAAAAAATAAAGGCCATCAATAGAAATGTGTCTACCAATACTTTGTCGGAAATTAATTTGTGAATTAAATAATGAATTTAACAGTGAACGCTGTGCGGATTATGAAACCTGCTACTACACACTTTTTCTTTATTATTAGTTGCTATCTAGTTATTTGTGAAGAATTGGTATAGAATGTTTTCAAATACATAAAATCTTTTGTAAAAAGAATAGGAGATATGCTAAATCGATACCATGTTAATTCACTTGCAATCATGACACAATTACAGAAGGTAGAACAAAGCTACCCCCCAAATACAATTTTTTTCTTTTGGTGCCCTTATTCCGTCATAATATATACACAATTTGTGAATATGGGTGTATTGTTTTGAATAAAAAAATACAATAATTTGACATTATAAAAATAAACAATGCCTACTGTTGTATATTTAAAATACTAATTGACACTATAAGACTCCAGCACAGATTTGAATTTTTCTAGTTTCTTTGATGTTGAGCAATCTTTCTTATTGAGCCATGCTTGCTCCAATGATCATTTTGTTGGATAGCATGTGTTCTGTGCACCAATCGATTGACAAGTTGATAACAATTTGTCGATTTTCTACAAGAACTCGATTAATCGAAAGTCGACTTATGAATCCCTAGTGTGTAAAGTTACAGTCATATATTTCCGCTCCCATATTTTATACTTGTCCATATAAAAATATTTAAAAGTAAAAGTAAATAGCAAATAACTGTTACTTCTGGAAGTAGGACTGAATACAAAAAAAAAAAAAAAAAAAAACGATCTGAATACAATTGATGAATTAAATCGAAAAAATATGTGGATGATTCTGAAACAACGCAACATATTTCTTAATCTCATAGTAAGTAGAAAAATGTATACAAACCCTATTGATTTTTTTCATTCAAGCAAATGTGCATACATACCGTTGAGCAATTTCCCAATTCGTATTTATTTTTAGTTAAAATGTTGTCAATGGAAACGCCGCAACACCAGGGCATCTATGCTCCATTGAACCAAGCGATGTCCGACTCAGAATCTGAGGAAGAAATACATAATTCAACAAAACATCGCCAAATCCATAGACAGCACGAATTGTTTCTACAACAGCAGCCACAACTAAATTTGAATGCTAAGAGCAGAGTTCCGCCGAATACTTTAAATTTGCAACCAAAATCCTACCAACAAAACCGTCGCAAATTGTTAATCGAACGACAACGTCAGCTGGACCGGAATTTATATCAAAACTCTCAGCTACGAAATATTGATTCTAAACACATAGGTATGCATGTTAATGGTTTTGAATATTATGTTCTGTATAATGCGTGTTTGTTGTTTTCTTTATGTACAAGTATATGCGTATGTGTGTTTGTATATTAGGGGATGTTGCAGCGTTTATATTTAGAATATAATTTAAAGGAACGGCTATATTCAGGTTCAGTTCAGTTTCCACAAACGTTCAGCCAGAGCATATGCACGTGTTTGCTGTTGTTCTTTAATCCATTCATTTATTTGTGTTAAGTTGCATACTTTGAGGCGGCGGTCAAAATTATGTCATTAAATGTACTACTTCTTCTATCAAGGAATGTACTACTTGTACTACTTCTCTGGTTCAAATTAAATAATTTTAATTACCATAAGATGGAGGCCATATAATTGGATATCAGCATTTATAAGAAAAAGGATTTTTAAAGGATTTATTTGCCAAATGGAGGATGTTGTTAAACTCATGTGCTGACTTACTTACTTGTTTTAACGCAAAAAATGTATGTCGGTCTGGATGGTGCGCATTATATACCTTGAAATGCATTTAATTTGGTCCATACTTCGCACATCCTAATATTTCTATCGTAATTAAATTGTTTTGGCACCCCAAAAACGGGAGATCCAGTATTTGTCGGTATAGTTTTTTTTTTTCCTGTTATTAGGAACTTACAATAAATCATTAAAATATTCGTTACGAGCTTCAAATGCCAAAATTCCAAAAGAAAAAAATCAATAAAAAATATGGCTAAAGTCATCAAAATAAGTATCGGGAAGTTTTTTTATAGGCACCGTACGAAAACTTGAATCTGGATAGACAATTTTCTGTCATGGGAGGTGGTATCCATTATAAACTCAAAATATCCAATTTGAAACAACTTTGTTATTGGTATCGCTATATGGATGTTATACGAGAGTTTGGCGAATAAACAAAATTTCTGTCATAGAAGGTGATACCTCTTATGAACTTAAAATATTAAATTTGAACCAATTTGATTTAAATCGTAAGCTCCCATATTTTGGAGGCTTTACGAAAACGTGGACCTGCCAGTGAACTTAGCAATTTAGCTCGTCTTAAAAATATCGAATATCAGGCGGTATCTTCATATGGCGTCTGTGCCACAAATTGGGTCTATATAAACAGTTCTTGCAAAGGATATTTTCTACCCACTGAAACAGTATCAAATTTTTACAGTATCAAAAATTTTACGGACCTAAAAACATGTGAGTAGAGCTAAGGCGTTCGCAAGGTTGGGCAATTTCGAGGAGTCACAAACAGAAATCCTTAACATACACTCCATATTATGGTGGAGGGAGATTTTTCCAAACGTAATATATCTAAATATTCTTTTTGTCGATTTTTCTATAACCTCCCCCACAAGGGGGAAAACCCGATTTTTTTCCAACATTGCGCATTCAAATATTTCTATCAACATCAAATGTACAATATCAATCCCTCCTTCTGGTACATTCACCATTACACTTCAAATTTTCAAAAAAGATTCCAGCAAATAAACATCAATTCGTTTGCGAAAAGTCTTCCTAAAATTTTAGACTCGTTTCAACAGTTTGTGTTAGGCCTTTTTATATCCTCCATCTTGTCATTTTGTTTATAACATCCTTAAATATTCGATATTAGACATAGTATATATATTCATAATCAGCATAAAATCCTAAGTCGATTTAGGCGAAACATTGTATGCATAGGTCTACGTTTTGGTATAGCCCCCATATAACGGTACCTCTCGATATTCGGTGTTTTGATGATTTTTGCAACATTTTTTAACGGATTTGCCCAGAAATCGGTATTTGTAAGTTCATAATGGGTTTAGTTTGTGTGCCGAAACATTGTATGTATAGGTTCACGTTTTGGTGTAGCCCCCATATAACGCTATCTGCCGATATTCGATATTTTGATGATTTTTTGCCACATTTCCACGGATTTGTCTAAAAATTGGTATTTATAGTTTATAATGGGTCCCAGCCGGGTGGGAGAACATTGATTTAGGCGAAACGTTGTATGCATAGGTCCACGTTTTCCTATAGCGCACATATAACGATACTAACCGATATTCGGTATTTTGATGATTCTAGTCACATTTACCCACATAATTGTTTCAAATTTGGTATTTTAGAAGATTTGATAGATGACAATACTTGAAGTACAAAATTGTCCATTATCCATGTCCTTTTTGGTATGGTCCCATATAACGACCTCGTTCACTTCATGGCTTTTTTTGATAAGTTTAACTGAATTATCAAAACGGCCTTACTGGTATATGAAGTTTAAAGTAAAACACGCTTGAATTCAGATACTTTTATATAAACATAGTTTCTTTACCCTAAGGTAGAGGGTATTAAAAGTTCGGCCCGGCCAATCTTAATGTTGTTTTTTACTTGTAAGTACTCACTGGTACCTCTCATACAAGGAGGAAATTTGAATAGTCATAACGCAATTCAATATATATGTAATCAAAAAAAAAAAATAATAATAATAAAACATTGGCTGCGGGTACACATCTGATCCTTTTTAAGTTGTTTTTATACCAAATTAAATTTTACGTTTCGTTCACAAAATACCAAATGCTACGAATGTAGTGCTTTTAATACGCTTCTAGACCGAATTTCCAAAAACCCAGCCTTATGTTATTCTTACCCACCACTTGACCCACATGCAAAATGTCAAGATTCTAGCTTCTGCATTTTCGTCTGAACATATATATATATGAAGGATATAAATCATGAAAGTACGGAGCGTCGTATTTAAAGGATATTATTTTAATATTCAAAGAACATTTTAATTGTTTAATCAGAAGTTTATACCATTATAATGCAAAATTACAAGATATCGGTGGTCAATTGTAATCTCCTCATCGAGAGATAAAATGGTCGGAAAACTTTTTCCGTAAAAGAGCAAGAGCAAGAGCTGCTTGTATGGCACGTGGCGACATCTTGTTGAAAGTTAACGTCCTTTACCATCCAACTGCGACCATATAAAATAATTAATCCTCTCGATAGCGCAATCCATTCACCTTAGCTCTTGATCCATCCTCAGTTTCGAAAAAGTAATCTACACAGCACCAAACAGATGCGACAATTTTGACCGGACCTTATCACTCAAGGTTATTTTTCGATTAAACTCCGTATTATTTGCAATTTGTGTACAATTAGAAATAACGATATAAAAAAACTTATCATATATTTATTTTGTTCCAGCAAACGGACATAAGATGGACAACACACACAGTAACAGTATACAAAACACCTACTTGAGATCAGTTATGATGTCGGACGTAGGCATGCCTTCGGAAAGCGGTGGTCCTTGTGATTCAGGCAATAACTTTTCCAGCTTTAGCAATGAATATGACGAACGAAATCAAACGGATGCAGATAATGTGGCTATTCTCGGAGGAAACGATTGCACGAAGGACATACCGCTTGAACCAATGTCACCGGCACGACGTTGCTGTTTTATTGCATCTCTATTGTTGTGTGTGTTGACAGTGATAGTTTTTGTGTGGGTGATTCCATGCAGTGAAGATGGCTCCTGTCCGGCACCAATCGATCGCGTTAAGACACACAACTGGCTAAATAATTATACGAAGATTGAGTTGAAGGCAGGTGTTAATATTGTTACTGGTGTACGAAGCTGGGAGAACAATTTAATATTTTTATATCGTGGTGATGCATTCTTCCCCGAATTCCGATTGGACAATTCAAAACGCAATGGTATTATTTCGTTAATTGGAAGTTCTGGAGCGGTAGCATGGTACGATGAGATGGAGGACGAACCTGTGGCCATTGATTGTACGTTATTGGATGTGGACAAGAATGGACGAACTGATTGTCTAATAGTAGATGAGTATGGCGAATTGGGAGCCATAAACCCTGTTTCTGGGCAGTGGCATTGGCGCTGTAAAGAACGTTCGCCTCAAAAAGTCGATGCTCTTGATTTTCCTATAATTCTGCCGGACTTGGACCGCGACGGTGTCTTTGATATTTTAATGGTAACCAGCGCAGCGACAGATCGCCAGTCAAATAAACATTCGGCGCGAAAAGGTGATGCGACAAATAGAAGCGAAGTTAGTCAACGGAATTTCTTAAGAATTCTTTCGGGCCGCAACGGACAACCGATTGGCGAAGGATTTAAGGTTATTGAGTGTGACATTGTGCGCAAGCTGCAACTAGAAAATGGCCAAACAGTATCGTTTAACTGCATTCACAACAAGACAGAGGCTCAACGGTCTAAAACACTGGCAGAATTGTTTTCGCTCATAACAAACAAATCCCTTATAGGACAGAAACTGGTGCCTGCCTCGAAAATATCCCAACATCGCCATTACGGCCAACGAAAAGACATTGATTCTCAGCGCAACATTTACTCCCTGAATGGACGCGAACTTATTGTTGAGAATCGAGGGAAATGTCCCGAAGACTGTAACGTTACGTTCATACTGAGCGAGAACCGCAACGGAAAGGCGTATACAGTGCGAAATTTCACCAGCAGTGGAATGTATGGTATGGTCCCGGCCCAATGGCACTTCAAGAACACAAAGCCAAATATGTCGGGATTTGTAATGAAATTTTGGAAATGGAAAACTGAATCTTCATCAAGTGGACAAACTTCGGCCAGCAGTAGCAATCCGCGTGGCAATGAAACGGCCCAAAAGACTCAAACGGCCAAAATGAAATCAAAGGCAACGAAGAGTCCAACCAAGGACAACACGTCTAAGACATACAAGCAAAATCACGTGCAAAGCGAAGAAGACAACCAAAGGCATAGCGGCCATCAACGCGAATTGAAACACGACGAGGAGGAGTACGATGCTTTTGAACATGTTATTCACAAACGTAGTTCGTTTGACGTTGACTTCATTGCCCCTCGTAGTAAACGCAGCACTTCAACCTCGAACACGACGAATAAGAAAACATCGGGCCCAAACCTACTTATGAATGACTACAAGATGCAGCTGATTACCGAGTCTGTTATACTGGTACTTTTTATTGGCACTGAAACTCGTATCGAGAATACTTCGCAAAGCAATATTGTACAGTTCTGTCGCAACGATCGCAAGGCAGTTGTATGTCAACCGGATCTGAACAATCAAGAGAACTCAATGCTTATTGCAGACTTGGACCAGGATGGTTCACAAGAGCTGGTATCATACATGTCAACGTTTGTCCAGACGAGTGAAGGTTCGCAAGACTGGCGTCTGGTGACATATGTTCGTTTGTTGCGGCTACAATCAGAGTTACCAGCATTTTATGGTGATGTGAAAAGTAATTGAGGCAACAGAAACACCTCACCAAAGCCCGCTAATACATATACTCACATACATTAATACGTTTTTGACCTATCCAGTAAAATATTACAGCATTTGTACATACACTAAAAATTGTATGGAATAAATAAAGTTCACATTAAATTCAAAATTTGTTTGACGATGCAAATAGCCTTCGTAGGAAAGGCATACAAATTTGATCAATCTTTGACAACTTATAAGGATATGAATATTTTATTTGACAGGTTGTAGTGGAACAGGCTGTGCCTGTGACAAATTCCTCATTGTTACATTTCAATACTGAGGGCTTTGAGGAAACCTTTTGTTATAGCTTAACGATATAATAAAAAGATTTAGGATTGGTTTTAAAAATATTTTAATCTTGTCGAGGTAAAGGTTATACAATCTACGAGACTCTAAGTTATATGTAGACCTAGCAACAGAGTAATTAGTATAGTCCATAGTTAAGCCTGATATTTTGTATTTACGAAAAGGCTTATTTCTAGAATTTTTAAAACTTGATAGCTCATAATATAACAGCTGGAACACATTTCAGTTTAAATCTATTTAAAATATCATAAAATCTGTATGACTTTTACATAGGACAATAATTAAGGACATATGAGTCAGACTGACTTTCTTCAATTATATAACTGTGAGTCATGGATGGTACATATCGAAGGAATTCTGAATATTTCAAAATGATGTGTTACATTTGCAAACGCCAAACAAATAATTTTGATGTGAGAATTTTTCACTCCATTAATTTGATAAGGATTTACATCAGAAAAACTATTAATAACTTCGAATGTATACTGGATACTGTTCGTTTTGATGGCAAAGAAATCCAAATGCCGTAAGTATATAAATTGGTTAATTTTGTGTTGAGCCCCCTTACATTCTGATAGCAAATATAAAATGAATTTTTTAGTTGTTTGGCACTAAATCTGGCGATGCAAATGAACTAAATTATGGGATCTCTCCAGAAATTCATTAATGATTGCCCTAGCATTCAAAAATTCTTTTAAAATTAACCGTAAAATAATATTTTCAGGCACAGCGATTATGAAAGAAGATCTACTTTAATCAAATGCAGATAGGAGCTTACAATTTCTAAAAAAAGTAATCTACCTCAATTTTTGATTTTATATAATAACTTATGTCATCAGCCGCGGATTCTGGTGCAAATCTAGTCGTAAATATTATTTTCATGAGGGGAGCCATAGATAGTGGTCTTTTGACAGGTTGAGTTTTGCCAGTAACTGTGTAGGGACGATCATAAGATATGGTAAATGATAATTCCTGAATTTCATGAGTAAATTGTGAAGTTTCCTTAGGAACCTCACTATCAAAACTCATAACCACACTGGCGTACTACTGTTCTCACCCGGTATCAGTTGTATCAGTGATATTAACCGAAACTAGGCTTTGCGAATAGGGATTCCCTTAGTTGATGCCTTTTTGCAAGCCCTTTTGCATTTCTGACCTGAAAATGACGGTGACGACACAAATTCATCTAGTTCTTCACATTTCTAACAATATGTAGAGAAATTCTCAATTCAAAGTGATATTAGGTGTGTCTGGTTACCCTAAAATTTTTAACAATTGTTACAAATTGTTACTGGAAGTCGTCTGTTAACCCGAAAGTTCTGCAAGAGAGAGCGGTTGGAGAGAGAAATTTTGAAAGTTCTTTCAGTGAGAGTTTGCAAATTCTTGCTGGACAAATTTCTTCTTGCAATCACTTGCAACTCTTCTTCTTCTCATTCATCGACATTCAATCAGATGTTTTCTATGGTTTGTTTATTTCTTTTTGTGCTTTCAATTTGAAAATATTTTTTTGGAATTAGCAAGACTAATAGTTTTTGGAGAACAACTTTACAAAATGTGAAAAACATAAATGTTAATATGCAATAAGAAAATAAAAGACTATTTCCAACATTTTTATTTAAAAAACTTGTAAAATTAGTATTGCTTCCTTTGTTTTAATTCTCCTGATGGGGGACAAATTGGTTTGTTTTGATTTGATCAGCTGATTAGGTGCAAGCTTCTGCAGGAATACCGTCTGTTTACTTTTCGCATTTTCCTTGCAAAAGAGAATAAAACTACCTTACTCTCTCAGAAAGAAGTTGCTGGACAATTTCTGCAGGGAAAGTAACCAGACAATAGGTGTGTCTGGTTACTTTTCCTGCAGGAATTGTCCAGCAACTTCTTTCTGAGAGAGTAAGGTAGTTTTATTCTCTTTTGCAAGGAAAATGCGAAAAGTAAACAGACGGTATTCCTGCAGAAGCTTGCACCTAATCAGCTGATCAAATCAAAACAAACCAATTTGTCCCCCATCAGGAGAATTAAAACAAAGGAAGCAATACTAATTTTACAAGTTTTTTAAATAAAAATGTTGGAAATAGTCTTTTATTTTCTTATTACATATTAACATTTACGTTTTTCACATTTTGTAAAGTTTTTCTCCAAAAACTATTAGTCTTGCTAATTCCAAAAAAATATTTTCAAATTGAAAGCACAAAAAGAAATAAACAAACCATAGAAAACATCTGATTGAATGTCGATGAATGAGAAGAAGAAGAGTTGCAAGTGATTGCAAGAAGAAATTTGTCCAGCAAGAATTTGCAAACTCTCACTGAAAGAACTTTCAAAATTTCTCTCTCCAACCGCTCTCTCTTGCAGAACTTTCGGGTTAACAGACGACTTCCAGTAACAATTTGTAACAATTGTTAAAAATTTTAGGGTAACCAGACACACCTATTAATCATTAGCATGTCATTGATTTAGACAAAAACAAAAGGTAACACATAATTCATCTTCTGCAACAATATCAAATAATTCAAAAGCGCATGACATTTAATTGTTTATTATTATTTATTATAATTTTTTATTTTCAATTTTACAATTCTTTTTTATTTATTTTTTTATTTTTATATAAAAATAGTACGAGATAAAAACGAAAATTTTGCCAACCCTTCTGAGATAACTAACTAAACAAGAGGACATGTTATAATTAGCTAATGTAACAAATGAAACAGGACAAAGAGTAGAAAGTAAAAGTAGACAATTTGAAAATTGATATTAGTTTAAACACAAACAAGCTCTAAAAACACTACACCAATTATCACTTACAGCCAGTTGTTTTATACCCTCCACCATAGGATGGAGGGTATATTAAGTTTGTCATTGCGTTTGTAACACAAAATGTATATTTATTTTAGACCCCACAAAGTATTTATATTCTTGGTCAGCATAAAATTCTATGTCGATTTAGCGATGTCCATCCGTCTGTGGAAATCACTCTAGCTTCCGAACGAATTGAAGTAGATTGATAAAATTTTACTAAAATCTATATTGTGGACTTTTGGTATTGAAAATGGGTCATGAAGGTGCACGTTTTGGTATAGCACCCATATAACGGTACCTCCCGATATTCGGTACTTTGTTGATTTTTGAGACATTATACACCGGAATTGTTTCAAATTTGGTATTTGATGTTCGAAATGGATGCTTCAGCCTATGACAGGGGATTGTCTGTGCAGGTCCAAATCTTCGTATAGCCCCCATATAACGGTACCTCCCGATATTCGGTACTTCGATGATTTTGGCGACATTATACACCGGAATTGTTTCCGATATTAGGTATTTTGATGATTTTAGCGACATATTAACTGGAATAGTTTCAAATTTAGCATGATTTTGCAAATAATGGCTTGTGGTAAAAATTGCCTATGCAGGTCCACGTCGTCGTATAGACCCTAAATTAAGGGCTACATTCGGTATTTTTAAAATTTTAACAGAATTTTTTATTTTTTTTTTTTTGAAAGTTGCCAAATTCATTCCAAATGGTGGAGGCTATTCAAAGTTCGGCACGGACGAACTTACAGCTTTTTTACTCGTTTTTTAAGGTACTTTAACGGATCGTTCGTATTCAAACGAATTTATTTTAGCATGGGTTTTTACAATAAATTAAAAAAAACTCTCGTCTATATCCGTAAAGCTTTGATACATGGCCTATATAAGGTCGGCCAGTAAGACCATCTGACGACCAAGTTTTCTGTCAAAATATATTTGCTTCCATGCCGAACTTGTATAGGACATGCTTTGATATATCAGGGTTTCCATAACCATTATTTTGTTAATTTTTTATTTATTTTCATTGGTATACCTGGCGTATTTGTTTACGTCACGTCGAATTTTATGTAACGCTGTTAGACAAAATATGATTATAAAGTTTGGTGTAAATAAATGTTTTTTTAATATATGTATATTACGAAAGTTTTTTTATAACAATAATATAAAATAACAAATATGTATGTGGGTATTAACTTCTACAATCGTTGGCAAAAATACAGAAACATTGTTGATCTCATTTATTCCGATGTTCCTTTCGGCGACCAAATTTCATGTCCCTTAAATAGTGTATACTCTCATTATTAATTAAGGATAATATAGTTGATTTTAAGGTGAGTAATGATGCCAATTTATATTTGAGTGTAATCGACGAAACCATTTCAATCAGTTGAGAAATATTTTCATCCATTTGTTTGGTTATACGATTCTGTTTTCCATACACTTGAAATCTAAAACAAAGCAATATTAATGATATGATTTTGGAATAAACCGAATAACTCACCCTTTGACAACGTTTTCTATAATATCATCAGTAATATCAATTTGTTGGAGAAAATCAATAAAATATGATTTATTTGTTAGAATTATGTATTGGGAGAGAAGTGCCTCTGACCAATTGATATCGTAGCCATAGGCACGACTAAGTATCAAGGATTGTGACACACTGAAAAAAAGAACATTATAATAGTTTAATTTTTGGTTAGCTTTAATTATTATATATATATATATATATATATATATATATATATATATATATATATATATATATATATATATATATATATATATATATATATATATATATATATATATATATATTACATAAATACAAAATGACGAAACGCCCTCTGTTCAATATTTTCAATAACTGACTTAATTATTATTGCGAGAAATATCAGATGTCGACCAAAGACACAGAAATATAAAGATTGGACCTTATAGATTTAAGAAAAGGCAGCGCATCTACATATTGCTTTCCATGTAAACAGTGAAGAAAGGAAAAGTCGGGCGGGGCCGACTTTATGATACCCTGCACCACTTAGCGTGTATAGTAGAGCTACATATAACGAATAAACGCTTTTATGGGAATTTATGAGAATTAAAACATACCAAATATGATCGTTTTTGAATGCATATTATTCATCAAAATCCATCCAATTTGAGCTGATATTACACTTTTTAGGCATAATAAATGTGAAATCGGGTGAAGATATATATGGTAGCTATATCCAAATCCGAACCGATCTCTGTAAAATTTAGCAGAGGTATTTCAATGCTGCATCTGATAATTGGTCCAAATGTCGTTGTTGTGGAGAGTGTTTTACAAAATCGGATGAAACATATATATGGGACCTATGTGTATATATAAACCGATTTTCACCAAATTTCATACACTTTCTTCTAGGCTCCATTCAATTCGGGTTAATATTAACCATTTGAACCGATTTCCACCAAACATTTTTCCAAGCTCCATTTGGTTATATGTGTCAAATTGCAATCAATTTGGCCTAATATTACACGTTTGGCGCACTATAAAAATCAAAGGACGAAGGAGCTATATTTAAAAGTTGACCGATTATCTTCAATTTCAATATGGTTCGTCCGATCGATCGGAAAATAAATGCGACCTGTACATTGTTTACAAAAATACATTGACAGACTGACGAGATACAAGTATCAGAGTTTTACGTCGAAAAATGTAAACATAACAATTAATTTTCAAAAATGATTTTAATCGCAAAAAATTTCATTTTTGGAATTTGGATTTTTAAATTTAAAATGCAGAAGAATAGTTTTCAACATCCCTTTCAAATTGAAACCAAACTGCATATAGACATAAATTATTCTACAGTTTTCAATTATAGGAAACGTGAAATATACGATTTTATTGCCTAATGTGGCGTACCTGCCGTAGGCGTGTTGTTAAGTATAACATCGATCTATTATTAGGCAAAAACATTGCCCTTTAGTGAATTTTTACAAAGACTTAAAATGGTAAAGACTAGACAAAATGCATTCTGAGAAAATAGTTAATGTGAAAAATATGTAGAGGCGCTGCTGAAAACAGAGATATGTTAGCATAAAAAACTAAATTACAGAGGAGTTTTACTAAAAATATTTTCTGTAAACCAAAATTCTGGCAAAGACATAGAAGTATAAAGATTGGACAAGTCAGAGTCAAAATATTGTCACCAGTGGTATTTGCCTCTGTTGTGACGATATCATAACAACATAATCACCAATGTTAAGTTATTTTAACAGAAAATGCAATTTTCAATTAATTGAAAACGTCATTGGAATACAATTTTGTGCCCAGAATTTTGGTTTGCAGAAAATATTTTTAGTAAAACTCCTCTGTAATTTAGTTTTTTATGCTAACATATCTCTGTTTTCAGCAGCGCCTCTACATATTTTTCACATTAACTATTTTCTCAGAATGCATTTTGTCTAGTCTTTACCATTTTAAGTCTTTGATTCTGGGCACAAATTTGTATTCCAATGACGTTTTCAATTAATTGAAAATTGTATTTTCTGTTAAAATTACTTAACAGTGGTGATTATGTTGTTATGATATCGTAACAACAGAGGCAAATACCACTGGTGACAATATTTTGACTCTGACTTGTCCAATCTTTATACTTCTATGTCTTTGATTTTTATATCAAAAAAGTATATGTGTATATCAAGAAATGGGATTAATCACTAAATGTTATATAGAATTTGTCACTAGTATTACAATAAGTCAAATCACCTGGGGTTTGCTGCTACCTGTAATAATTGTACCATGATTCCATTATTTTGAAAGAAAAAACTGGTAAAAATATCAAAACTGTTTGATTCTAGCAAGTGCTAGAAGATGGATTTTAGATAAGGACCTAAAGGGCAAGAATTTATTTAACTCTTATTCAGAATTGTTTGCCAACACCCTAAATATGGACAGCGTAACTTTAAAAACGCGGAAATGTTATTTTCTTTTACATCCACATTTAACAAAAATATTTTCACTTCTAATTTTATCAAAACCTAATTTCACGAAGAGACATTTATGACAAGAAAATACAGTTTCGTCCAAGGTAAACGAGGTGTAAAGTCGAACTTATTTAACAATGTTTCATTTATAATTACCTTAACTCGTCGTTGACTAAATTTTTAAATTGTTGGCGAGATTTTAATTGTATTACACATGGGCACAGATGATTACCCGAAGGAGATGACGGTTTTTCAAGTCCCTTGGTGACCAAGTCAATTTGCATTGCTGTCAATTCAGCCTTGGCAGCACTTTTTTGTGCCAGTAACAATTTGGTATCCTGCAGGTAATTTTCTGCGGCATGCACAAAATATTCGAGTGATTTATTCAGTTGAATAGTTACATCAGAACTACAGATTAGTTTCACGTTATCGCACTCGTCGGATAGACTTGACGTATTGTAGACATTTACTTGAATTTCTTCAGCATCTTGATTCCACAATTCGGCAAGATCCTTATACATCAAGAAGTGTAAGGCGGCTAATTTGAATAGTTCCTTTCCCTGTTGTGGTGCACAATATTCCCGTAGATATGCCAAAATCGCTTGTCGCAAAGTAATTGTCTTTTCTTCGTCGAACTGCCCAAGTAGAGATTCGAACTGTTCGTTTTCAATTAATGTATCAAAACAAAAATACATCTCCCGATAGCGCCCAATTCCGGTCAACATACGTACTATCAATGACCAAGATTTAGCCTGAGCAAGAATATTATTTAAGGCTTTGGCACGATTTAGGACATTTGCGATTCCTTCCATTGAACATTCGTGCACAAAGGCTTGGTGAGCTTTAATTAGTAGTTCCACATAAATAATGTTCTGCTTTTTATGGGAAAGGACTTGAGGTGGATGTGTTTGATTCAACGCACTGGATGTTATTTCTGAGGCATTTATGCTATTGACGTTACCACTGTTGTTTGGCAGTCCATAGCGGGCAATTATTTCCGCCAGACGATCAAAATAGATATTGGAATTGTATGGTTTATTGTCCTGATATTTACGGTAGGCCTTGAGAGCATCACAATACTCCAATAGACATGCACCGAGCTGCGTACGATCCGGAGTCAATTCCAAAAACAAATGTAGATCACGATCAATATTATATCCCCATAAGTCGGCATTACGAAACGATGTCTTTGCCTGTTGATCAGGACTAAATATATAAAATCGCGGCCTCACAATAGCGGTAGTAATTTCAAATGCCAATAGTTCAGCTATTTCTTTCGGTTCCATATGCGTTGATGTTAAGATATCGCTGACCACTAGTAGACGATGCAGACAACCCTCTTCGGCTATACTTTGCAGCAATATATGAACATCTTTGGTGCGCAAAACGTCAATATATTCCTTGTCCAGATACATGGCGGCCCTGTAACAGCTGATGATGCGTCTTGCTATATTCACCCCATATTTGAGTTTCGATGCAATACCCTGCAATATTGTTAATGTTTCTTGTTTTTCCTTTGAAGGAATCTCTTCGAATTCTAGAGTAGAACAACTATCAGATAAATAGGCACCAGCACCTGCACCGCCAGCAGCGCCTGGCGTCGAGCAAAGCGTTCTTTTGGTAAACTTGGAGAAAGAAGAACGCTCAATTTCACTCAACAATTGACGTTCATCTGCGGACATACAATACACCGTCGACATGGACTCTGCCAATGCCATACAAAAGACTATGAAACGTAAATCCAAAGGCCGTATATCGAACAACTCCTGAAGTCGCAAGGCCTCAACAACATCTCCCTCATCGAGTAATCGATGCAACAAGTCTTCTAAGCGTCTGACCTGCACTTCGTTCAATTCAATTTTATTGCTTATATTCAAATCTTCAATTCCTGCTAATTCTTTGAGCTCCAAAAATGTTTTGTACAGCACCCTTCTTTCGGACAACATGATTTCTTCATAATATTCGGAATGATATAACGTCAGATCGACGGTACCACCTTCGTCCAACAATAGATAATTAACAATCATGTCGTATTCGATTTGGTCGCGGTCGAAAGATTCATTAGGAAACAGGCGATGATGTTTGATAACATTTAAAGCTTTTTGCAAAACCGTATAACGTGATTTGTAAGCGTGCACCGGCAAATGAACTGATGCATAAAGCAAGAAGTTGACCAATGTTTCGGGCGGTAAAGAATGAGCAGCTACTTCGCTTTCATATTGGTTAAATGGAAACACATAATTATCAAAGTTATCTGGCGAAGGCACTTCCAATTGACATTCCAAGGAAGTAACCCATTTGCTATAGATTATATCACTTATGGGCTTGTGTAGTAGAGACGCTAAGCGTACTGCGGTATCATATTCCCTGGCGGCCAAAACGCAGTTGAGAATCCGCTCATATTCCTTAACATCACTATGTTCGCCAGTCAAAAGTTGGATGAAGTTCAAGGGGAAACGTTGAGCCATTGACCCATTGAACGACATTAGAATATCACAGAATTGTTTTAAAAGGCAGAAGTCCAGCTGTCCCGTAATGTCGCTTAAACCCGATTTGCAAACACAATTTAAAAATTTAAGTTGATCCACGGCAGATTCAAAGTTGCTCTGCGTGTGCAACAACAAGAGACGTATGGTGCGCTTCATCAGTTTCTCACGTTGAGGTCGAAAGTTCAAGGGCAAGCGAATTTCTTCATTACTCCATGCTAAACAATAAAGACGCAGTTCATGGACATTTGCGTCACCAAATTCATTTTGGGTTGACAATTGTAGGAAACGGAAGAGATGAATAAGCCCGTTATCTGGAAAGAAAATTTCAAAGCTCCGGACAAGGGCGGTAATATGATTTTGTGAAATTAAATGGTCTATTAGATTCCAGGGAAATTCCTGTACGTTATGGGAGAATCGTACAAGATTGTTCCATTGATCTGTTGTGACTCCCAACCACACCAACCAACACCATTCTACATGAGTTGAATTGAAATCAGCGGAAGCTATCGAAGCAGCCATCACAGCCATTATGGGCAACTGTTGCGCTATTGAGGTTCTTAGAAACTTGACAATAGCTGAGATGGGCTCATCGTTTTTATTTTGTAGTTGTTGCAAAAACGAAGTCACATCCAAATCAGGTTCAATACGTGGATCGGAAGAACTCATATTCATAAGGATCAAGGCGAAAATATCGGGACTACCATTGGTACAATCTGCAAATATATGTGCGCTTTGGGTCATCGAAGAACTCGGAGCGCCTGGAAGTTCATTTCCAGACGCCATGGAGGATGTTAATGTTTCCACTGAAGTGTTTATGGCTCGTCTATCTCCCGCTGTCTTCTTTTGTCTGTTTGTTTGTAATTGACGTTTTGTAAGGCTGGAACGTCGCTTCATTGAATTCCCCTCCAAATTGCTGCTCGAGAATGAGGATAATGCCCTCAACAAATGATCCCCCATTGGAGAATTTTTGAAATATTTCCCCAACAATTTGATCTGTTCCAATGGTATTTCAAAATAGTGCAATAACACTAACAAGTGCCAATAGTCACTTTTACTAGCATAACGTTGCATTATCAGGGATCCATTGTCTTCAAAAATGGCACTGTTGTGTGGGACAATAGCTTTACATGCCATGATTGTACTGTACTCAATGAGAGGGAATATTTGTGTGTCATCGCCGTTTGCCAATTTATCCAACAGTAAACGTTCAGCTTCGTTTATGACCGATTTTAGATCTTTCTTGTCAGGGCACACGTTCGGATAGTGTGCATGCTGTAAGCACTGGCGCAGTCTCAGAATACATCTCAGTTGCTGAGTATCGAAACCAAGCATTTCACAAAACGCAATACAATGACTAATAACATCCGAATCGGCGATGGGTGTCTGTAATGCCAACTCGTAAACACTTTCACAAGTCGTAAGCAAATGAGTTTTTGTAATTTGGGCATAGTTTTGTAACTGTTCAATTAACATCAGATAAATTGCATAGGCACTTCTCGATTGTTTTATATAATGTACGAAGTTTAAGCGATGATTGTTTTTATTCATCTCCCCCTCAGCAATCGGTACTTTGCTGAAGGTATTTGCGTCCCGGCACAAGCGATTTACATCGATTCCTTTGAATGTTTTTATTAGATCATAAATTGTAGGGATACTCTGTGGATTGACAGCAGCGTTATTATTTTCGTGATACAATACAACTTTGAGATATGTCAATGATTTCAAAATGCCCGATGCTATGGAGCAGTGTAGGTTAGCCAAAGTTGGTTGGTTCGTGAGAAACTCAAAAAGTGTAGCCAATGTCCATTTATCACAATCATTTGAACTAATATCTTCCATATACTTCGAGGTGTGATGGACAATCTGAAAGTAAACAAAATTAAATATTATTAATAATTGCTTGTTACGAATTAGTGCATGAGGATGCCTGTTAGTGTAATGGGTGTGTGAACAGCAAATGATTATGGAAATTTGTACTTATAAGATACGAAAAGTAATAAACATATATTATATATCTGGTGTGAATATAGAATTTAACGGCCCAGTCCTTCTGGAAATAAGTGTTCGATTTTCTTTCCAATACTTATATCATGTCCGTCAAGATAAATTTAATTAGCAAAGATACAAACCAAGTTGATTTTTTCTCCGGTTCAGAAAGGGTTAAAAAAGAGTGAGAAATCATTTTTAGTTTCTGTTCTGTAGACCAGTGTGCCACCAAGGAAAATCAATATTACAAACGGAGGGTGATAATATAACACATTTGGGGAAAAATTACACATGTATCAACTTTTTTTTAATAGAAGTAATTTTTTAACAAGAAATACTATGTATCCCAAAAACAAATGTAAACTCATTTTATATCAAATGTATGTAATAATTTATAACTAAAACATGTATTTGTGCGTGTTTCTGAAATTTGATTTACGTTATTTAAAAGTGCTAAATATTCGATTACCTAAGTCTGGAGTATTCCCCTATTGAATTATTATTTTCATATTACTCTTTATTACAGAGAGCAATATTTGCTGATCGCTACCAATATGATGAATTCATTCCGGCGAAGAGAATGATCACTTAGCTTTTGATATGATATTATACAGGAAATGAGAATCATACTCACTTCCTGTCTTTCCCAAAAGTCATAAGTTAAATATTCCTTCTGCAGTAGCATTTGCGAAGGGTAGGATTATAAAAGTGTTAAAAATAGTAAAACTATAAATTACACGTGCCACTAATATAACTTAAATTACCTTTAATTTTTCTCTGGTTTACTACCCCTCTCTCTCTCTCTTTATTAACCCTTTCTGAACCGGAGAAAAAATCACATTAGTTTGTATCTTTGCTAATTAAATCTAAATTTATCTTGACGGACATTACTTATATCATTATTAAAGTAAAAAACTTTGGTTCATTATACCTAGTACCTCACGCACATTTCAACATACCTCATATAAAGTGAAGGAAGTAGTCGATATATAGTGGCAATCTGGAATCTGGCACTTGTAATGTTTATATCAGATTTAGGTCAGATATAGAATGGGCAATTTGGCCCACTTCTTTGGAACCCCAACAGTTTGATTAATCATAATGTAAATCAAAATAAATTTAAATAAATGGACATTGGCTGAGGGCAAAACCGACTGGTACTTTTTAAATTTGCTTTAATACAAATGTTTTATAAGTTGTACGATGTAGTTTGCATACCATTAATTTTATGTGGCTTCTTACCTTTTTAAAACCTTCCAAATCTTCTAGTTCATTTGATTTGAGAGTAATTATAAGATTAAGGAGGGTCCCATTTTCGTCGACACTTTCAAGCATTTCTTCCAATTGCCGAGCAGTAACAAAGTCATTCAAAAGCAGGTGATATAATCCTCGTTCATAAATAAAACGACCCATTTTTAATGACCTGATGTACTCCCGATTTTTAGTTATGCTATTGCTAACGCAGATTCTTTGCAATATCGTTTCTACTTGATTTCTTTCGTCAGCGAAAAAATATCCAGCTGATGCAAATAAATTACGTAGTACTTCATCGTTTTGGCTGCTAAGGGAACGAATAGCATATTCGTACATTTCCGCTTCAATGGACCACTCTGTATACTTATGTTCCAAGGCAGAAAGACTTGTGGTGAACGGAAATGCGCTATAGTTCGATTGCTGTAAATTACACCAAGAAATTATCTCATCAATTTGTTTTGTTTCTATTAGAAAATTCCACATAACAAATTTGTTGATGTACTGCAACAAGCTTTCATTGCGACTCTCAAAATACAACGATATCATTATGTGTTGTTTTGTTGCAGTATCTAACGCCATCAGCGATTCCAAATTTACTCGCCTCATATGTTTCTTTACATCCATCATTATTGCATCGGATTTCTTTAGCTTTTCCAAAAGGTTCCAATGAAGTTGCAAATTTTGCATTTCGCCCTCAAAGTTTTGTAGTTCAATTTTTCGCAAATGATCTATTAGTAATTCGCTTAATTCTGGGTCATTGCATTCACACGCAAACTGATAGTAGAAACACTTTACATCCCGATGGACATTACGAAGGACTATTTCAGCTTTGCACACTAATCGTTCATTTAAAAGTCGTGCCACATACGTCTGGACGATATCGTGGAAAAACAGCTCGTAATCATTAACAGGCATTTTCCTTTTTTTAGCCCAATACGAAATACACAAGTCGACGTGTTCACCTTTGGTGGCCACCTCCTTGATGAGAGCCAGCTCACTAATCCCAGACCAAGACTTGAAAATTTTTTCTCGTTCGTAGTTGCTAGCCATATTCAATTCCGTTTTTGTGTAGAGTTCGATGATAATTGACTACCAGATAACGTTCCAACATTCCATTCATGCAACGAAGTGCAGTGGAACTTGAAAGCAACAGATAAAAAATGTTTTTTGTTTGTTTTTTTATGAGTCTTCTTCTTTTCATTGATTCACAGCGAATTGATAACGCATTATATTTTATATACATAGAACCATGGTACAATAAGGAGGTAGAGTAGCTTCGTAAGACTACAGAAATACAGCCCTGAGACTATGCCCGCTTCCTGTGAAATTTGCATGCAACAAGTTGTTTTCAGTTATTCAGTATTTTTCCTCATTTTTAAAATAAGTTAAACGGCGCGAAAAACTAAAATCCTTTTTATTGTACCATGACTCTGCCCTTCCCTTGGTTTTATTGTACCATGAATTTGGGCATGGTACAATAAAAAGGTAAGGTAAAGCTCCCAGCTGATTACAATTTTTTTCTAAGTGTGTCCGACTTCTGCCAATTTTGTGTATATATTTGTTGTTTTGAAAAATAAAAACAAAATATTTTCGAAACCAATGATTGGAAGAAACTTAATTGCGGGTCGCGCATTTATAATATTAATCAGATTTGCCATGAATTGTTGTACCATGAATTTGGGTGCCAATTATGACAAATTTAAAATTCATTACAATTTCAAAATGTTGCGGTATTTTTGCCTGCGATTGTGGAAGTTAAGCTAGAATAAATAAAGTGCTTATCTGGCTGGCTTAAGTCATCGGCTGGCTTCTTCGAAAATGAACAAAGGAGCCAAGGGCCAAAATCGAACTAAGTTAAACTATAACTTCTTTGTTCATCTACGAAGAAGCCAGCCTATGACTTAAGCCAGCCAAATGTGCGCTTTATGTATTTCCACCAAGGGTGGCCCGGTCCGTACAATTTCTGTTACTCTTGAAGATAGGAATGGTTGATAAACGTTTCAACGTTTGTAATTGGAAAATATTGCAATTGGATGAATTTAGGAAGTATCAATCTTTACAACGGTTGATAGATTCTAAGATCACCTTGATTTAATCCATGGTACAGTGAAGACAAGGTAGGCTAAGTTGGAAAAAGTTGCAAGTAAAGAGACCTGCCTGTATGGATTGTAATGTCAGAATTTCCATGGTACAATGAAGAGAAGGTAGGTCAACTTTGAAAAAATTGCAAGTATAGAGGTCTACCTGTTTGGCTTGTAATGTCAGAAATAGTATCAAAACAATAACAAAATCAAACAACTTTTTGCATTTATTTTGAATAAAAAATTGAAAACCGCGAAAACTAAATGAAAGGTTAACACTTCTTTTCAAAACCAGGTTCTATATATCTCTAAAGAATTATTTCGCTACAAAAACTCAACATTTTGTCGATGCATACGATGAAATAAACATTTTGAAAACATCCGAATTTGAATGTTTTCTGAACAGTTTTTTTGTTATTGAAAAGAAAACACATTCCTGGTTGAGAGTTCGAAGCGTGCAGAACAAAAGGAACAGAGCTGTGAAGAGCCCTTTATTTTCCTTATGCAATTTGCAGACAGGTATTCTAACCTTTGGAACACAACTGGACTCACAATTGGGATATTCCTGATCGCTTGGACTTCATAGCTGCTGAATGGGCACATTTTGTCTTTTTACGTCTGTGGTGTCCTGCATCTGTCACGCAAGTAAAACTACCTCTCAACCAGGTGTCGTGAGTTAAAAACCTTTTCATATAAATATTACAATATCAAATAAGCAAACAAAATTGAACTACAATTCGACATTTGTACTTATGTACTATCGTTTTCTTTTTACACCATTTTTATACTGTATTTGCAGTAATCGGAAAATTTATATTGGCAATCCATTTTGTAACAAACGCTCATTGGTTTGTAATCGTTTTCAAGAGTGGCCAACCATTTTGGAAAATAAAAGCATTGGACTGGACTTTGCAATCCATGTTGGGATAAACGCTGATTGGATTGTAATCGATTTCACTAGTGACCAACCAGTTTGGAAAATAAATTCTTTGGAGTGGAGTAATTTGGCAAATCATTTTGAAAAATAAACTTATTGGACTTGAGGTGACTTTCTACAAATTTACCTTAATTTGGAGTACAACCTGGCTTTTTGTATCCTGAGGATCGCCAACGCTCTCTTCAACATAGGAGAGTTCGCTTGACAGTCCAAAAAAAAAAAAAAAAAAAAAAGAAAACACATACATAAACAAATAAAGATGACATATTAAGCCAAGAAAATAAAAAAAATTGAAATCATATTGTATCATAGCCCTACCTTGATATCATTGTACCACGAGAATTTCTATCAACAAATGCAACAAGTCATCAAATTAAATTAACAAAAACGCAAAAACTGAATAAAAGTGTACGATATTTTATAAATCATGCTCTATATCATGGTACAATGAAGAGAAGGTAGGCCAACTTTAAAAAAATTGGAAGTATGGAGGTCTACCTGTTTGGCTTGTAATGTCAGAATTAGTATCAAAACAATAAAAATCAAACAACTTGTTGCATTTATTTTGAATAAATAATTGGAATATTTTGAATGAAAGGTCAACACTTCTTTTCAAAATCATGTACTATATATCTCTAAAGGATTATTTCGCTTCAAAAACTCTAGATTTTGTCGATGCATACGTTGAAATAAACAACCCGAATTTAAATATTTTCTGAACAATTTTTTTTGTTATTGAAAAGAAATCACATACAAATACAAATAAAGATGACCTATTAAGCCAAGAAAATAAAACAATTAAAATCATATGGTATCATAGCCCTACTTTGAATAGAAAACAGCATGCCATCTCTGATTTATGAATATAAAATGGATTTATAAATATACATTTTGAAAAATGTTGAAAAAATTCTAAAGATATGATTGCATGACTTTACCTTCTTAATTTTACCATGATTTACAAAAAGCCTGCCATATCTCTGCAAAATGCATTTATTTTAAAAGAAAGATGTAATAGTGAAACCCCGATAATGTAAACTTTATACTTTACTTTTTCTAAAGTAAGGGATAACAAAACCCGACTATAAAGAAAATATATTGTATATACTCACTCTAATATTGAATTTGTTGTGTCATTTGCTTTTGTTATTCTAACTTGTCTTAGATTATAGTTCTTTTTATATTTATTATTATTAAAAAAAAAATTATAGAAATTTAATAACATTTTAACATTCTTGAAGATCTGGAACAGAACAGATGTTAAATGAATAATTTCCTAAAATAAAAAAAAAAAACATATGTTTTCATGGCTTTACTTTCTTAGTTCTCCATGGGAAATTGTTATGAAAAAGATAGATAGATAGATAGATAGATAGATGGAAAAGAGTGGCATTATCAATTTGACAATACGATTACCTTGATCATTTTGCCGTGGTCTTGTGTAAACCTCATAGTGAAATCATATTCTCCTTGAACTCACGTTGGTGATTATTAACATTTAATAGATGTGGTAACATTGACATGAGCGTTATTAAAATCTCTCCAATTCGTTTGAAACTAGTGAGACATTTGCAACCAATTAAAGTTTAATAGTTTAATAAAGTAAGCAGTAAGCTATGGATACAATGGCCACAAACACATGTGACGAGAACTCGCCTGCTAAAGGAATGCTCAATGCCAAGATTTGCTTTTTGGAAAAATCTAAGATAGCAAAAGAAAAACGAGAACGACAACCAAACTGGACGGAGACAGAAAAACAATTGCTTCTTTCACTGACCGAATTGCATAGATCAACACTGGAGAACAAAGGAAGCGATACTATGACTATCAAACGTAAATCACAAGCCAGGGACGAAATAGCCTTACATATGAAAGAAGCCGGCTATAACCGGTCGAAAGAGAGATTGAAGCAACAATTCGGACGCATACGGAGTGCAAATAGAGCAAAAGAAGCTATGTCAAAAGCAAAACCACTAGTTGTAAACACCAATTTGAATATGTCAGCAAATGGTTGCCTCAAGTTGGCCCAGAGTAACCAAGAATATAATGAAATAAAAATGAATATACTTCAAGAGGAGCTTAACATTAAAAATGAAATATACTGTTCAACGGATGATACATGCGAAGAGCAAGATCTAAATCAACTAGAAGAGATGTGTAATACTTATGGTCCTGAATTGGAAAATGTTCAACATTGGGGCCAAGACAAACGCCGTGAACATGATATAAGTGCGACACCTTCTTCGGCTGGAAATTATTCAGTTGAGCACATCAAGCGTACAAAAAGCATTTCTTCAATGGAAAAATCAGATTTCGAACACATAAGACGCCCAGTAAAAAATGAAAATTCCTTTGAAATCAGAGGAAGAAGAGTTAGCAACATTTCTCCAATCAGATTGTCGGGTATTCGTGTTCCATCCACTCGAGAGGGACGACTTCGCCAAGTGCATATGTATCGGATTGCAGTGGAACGAGAACGTATACGCAGCTTAAAAGAACAACAAAGGCGTGACCGCATAATACATCGCAAAGATGTTCAAATTCAAAACCTGAAACTGAACATTCTTCGAAACCTATGTAATCAAAACAAAGAAAATCAAATCTTGTAGTTATTATCCACATGTTTATTTTACGTCAGTGTAGCACATTTCACCGTCATATGCATGAAATAAATATAATTATATTTTCTTGATCAGCATAAAATAATGTAACAATTTAGACGTGCTCGTCATTCGGTTGTTCATCTGTTGTAATTATGTAGATAAAATTGTACTCAAATGTTTTTTAGGTTCGTCGAATTTGTTGTTGAAAATAGGGCTTCATGTTTGGTATATAATTATAGACTATAAGGGGGAATGATTATATAGGGATAAATCGACAGTTGTACTAACAGTAGACAGGAAAAATCTTTGTAAAGGACAGTTCACATAGTTTGTCCAGATTTTGGTGCATCAGTGGATAACGATATAGTGAATATTGATGACTTCAACCACATTGTACAACGGAATTGTTTTTAAATTGGTATATGTTGGTCGAAATCTGTACCATCTTCTATAACTGGAATTTATCTATACTGAGGAATTTATACGGGTCCGTACCTTCCAATATTTGGTATTTTAAAATTTTATTTGATTTTTAAATGAAAATTTTTGAAATTTTGGGCAGGAGTGTTGCTTTCCAATTGTGCAAAGTTTGGACCGGCTGAACATAACTACTTTTTACTTCATATAAATAGAGATTCATAAAACAACAGGCATTGTCTTGCTTTAATTCTATAAAAGCGAAATAATCCTCTCAAACGACCACTTGTTGGTGTAGCGCCGCCCCACAATATGCTTCCACAAGAATTGGTCTGTTCAAGAACTGCAAGAATGTAAAAGTTATTACTGCGATAACCGAATTTCCCTTTATGATATCGACGAAAATTGCAAAACCGGGAGATTTTTGTTGGTTGTATGTAAGGTGAGCATTTATTATAATTTGACATAGGCAAAAATTAATTAGGCAAATTAATAGATCCGTCGGGCTGTGCTACACATCGCAATTTTGATCGATTTTTACAAAATTAAAGAAACAGTCAATTTATTTGGTAACAAAGGCAAAGATCCTGCACAACACATTTCCCATAATTGTTTTTTTACTTTTAATGTGCAGAGGTTAAATGAAGCAAAACTTACATCGTTTTAAAGACTATGGGCTGATATATATCATTTTGTCTTTTAAATAAATAACATAGTTGAAAGATAGACAAATGGATTAATAAATAAAATTAGAATATCGCACCATATTAACAATTAATGCATATTGCAAAATGTCGTGAGATCTAAAATTATGATAATTTCATTCCCAAAGTTTATTCTCAGTTGAAGTTTATTAGATGACCTAGCGTAGGATTCAAATTAAAAATTCGTTTCATATTAATGATAAGATTCATTATATATATATATATATATATATATATTTCTTCATCAGCGCAAATCGTTTGAGTGATGTCCGTCTTTTTGTTATACTCACATTATCTTCCGATCGAATTGATTCCCAATTCCGAACGTTTTTTTTGATTAAGACAAAATTGAAAAGTATATATGGAATGGGTTTTATTCTTTCAGTTTGATTTTCTTTTGACATTGTAGAACAGGATGTAAGGACTTATTATTTTTATTTGTATATTAGTATTTTATATCCTGTGGATTATATTTTTCGTTAATCACCGAAATGTAAGTTGCTTACCGACAATCAAAAACAAAACAAATCAAAAACAAACAAAGAAACCGCAAATAACTCCTCCTAATGAATAAAATCCAATAATTCAATTTACAATTACAAAATGTATTGGAATCACAAATATAATAATTTCATTGAGCCCTGTAAAACGTCACTATTTTTATACCCTACAACACTATGTGTTGGAGGTATTATAAGTTTGACTGGGCCAAAAATTATGTAACACCTCGAAATATTGGTTTCCCACATAGGAAAGTATATATGGATCTTCCTATCTCGCCGAGCTGAGTCGATCTAGCTATATATGTCAGTCCGTCTGTCCATGTTAATTTGTAATCACTCTACAGGTCGCAATTATGACCCGACCTTCACGAATTAAAAATGGAGGTGTGGTTATGGTCAATATAGAAACCTATTGCTTTTGGAGATTATCGCATAATATTTAGGGGTTGAAATGGACCAAAAATTGAAAAATTTCCTGATTTTGCAGTTGCTCTACAGGTCGCAATTATAGACCAATCGACGCGGAAGTTAGCATGGCCAAAGCTTAGAGCTGAGCAAAAGCCTTCCAATTTTGATGGTCAACGGATAATTTTTAGCCGCGAATATTTTTAATCCCGGCGAAATCACAAATAGACGAACAGGTTAATTCTGACCGTTACGTAGATTCCGATAGCAAATATATCGGATATATATAGCGAAATATATACAATGTGTATATACAAAGGAAGGGGATGTTATCTAGAATGTTTATATCTCAAGAATGACTGGACCGATTTTGACAAATTTTGTCAAATCAGTATGCTCTCTTCTCAAAAAAAGAATAAAATCTAAAAAAATCGCATAAGAAGATTTCAATAATGATGCTAATATAGATTTTGTAGTATTTTGTGACATTTTTTATTTTTTCAAATTTTTTTATCGCATGCGTTTTTTTTCAATTTGACTTATAATATTGAAGTGTATATTTTGTAATATTTTTTTCACCTTACAACACAGGTTGGGGTTTTTATATACAGATTTCAATTATCGTCCGATCCAATTTTCATAAGAGTAGGGTTAGGGTCAGAAGGGCTATTGTTTTTATTGTTTATTGATGTTTTTATACCCTACACCACAAGGTGGTCAGGGTATTATGTCTTTGTGCATTTGTTTGTAACAGGCAAAAGGAAACGAGATAGACCCATAGTTCCTTTTGATGTTCTGCATAGAATCACATTCTGAGTCGATTTATGCATGTCCGTCCGTCCGTCCGTCCGTCCATGTATTTTTGTAAACAAAGTACAGTTCGCATTTATTGCCCTATCCAGATGAAATTTTGCACAAATCATTTGTTTGGCCCAAGGACAAACCCTATTGAAATTGGAGATAATCGGTCAAAATGTAGATATAGCTGCCATATATATCTTCGTCCGATTTTCCTAATATTGTGCACCAAACGTGTAATATAAGTCCGAATAGTATGGAATTTTGCACGTACGATCAGATTGGACCTGAAAATAAGTATGCCAAATTTGATCGGTTCAGATATAGCTATAGCTCCCATATATCTTCTTCATCCGATTTGTCATATTTGTTACCCACAGCCGTAATATGCACTCCGTAACAACGATATTCGGGGAAATATATCAAATACATCTCAGAAATATCTTTGCCAAATTTTATCGAGATCGATTCAGATTTGGATATAGCTTCCATATATAACTTCGTCCGATTTACCTTTGATTGTGCACCAAACGTCTAATATTTGCCCAAATTTAATGAAATTTGGCACTTACGACCGAATTGAGTCTAGACGCTAGTATGTAAAATTTGGTGAAGATCGCTTCAGATATAGCTATAGCTCCCATATATACTGTTCATCCGATTTGTCATATTTGTTACCCACAGCCGTAATATGCACTCCGTAAATATATCAATATATCAAATACAGCTCAGAAATATATCAAATACAGCTCAGAAATATCTTTGCCAAATTTTATCGAGATCGGTTCCGATTTGGATATAGCTCCCATATGTATTTTTATCCGATTTCAAATTAATTGTGCATCAAATGGGCAATACAAGTCCGAATTTAGAAGATACAAATGCTTCGGCATATTTAGTCCTTTCAACTTTTTATTATAATTATAATCATAGCGTGTATGATTGAATTCTCCCATAAAAACTTTTAATTGTTATGCGCAGCCCCACCCGACTTTAAGACTTTCTTTACTGGTTAAATATGTCCTAGGTATTATCATCGTTCTCCCCTAATAAACAAACAATAAAGGGATAAGGCCTGACCATTTTGAAAAAAAAAAAGATGTCCGGAATATATTTAAGGGTTGAAATGGTTGAACAACTAAAAATTTTCCTGATTTTGCAGACGTTATAAAGGTAACAAATAGAAACCAAAGGACACGAGATCTCGTATGAAGCTAGAGTTTAGTACAGCGAGTAGAATGGACCACTACTTTTGTGTGAAAAAATACCAACATTTCATTCTGCCGAAACGATGAAAATGAGTTACGCGAAATCCAAAATACACAAAAGGCGAACTTATGGCTTTTTTATGCTGATTTCGTTGACGAATATAGTCAAATACCGTAGACAAGCAAATCATATAGATGAGTCTAAATTTAAAGATGCATGATAGCAAAATATTTAAGGGTTTAAATGAACTAAAAATGATCACACATTGAAACCAATCGACACGAATTTTTGTATGAGGAGAGAGTTAAGGACAGGGAAGAATTCTAGCATTTTGGATGACCATTGGATTATATTTAGCTGGAAAAGGGGCCCCAAAAACTAACAGCACAACGGAGTGAGTAAATATTGCGCAAATGTCCCTGGTCAATAAGCTATTTAACTTTGGGCAGTGCTCTATGAGATATTTTCAAAAACTTTCATAAGTGGGCTTCTAGTTTAAAATAAAAGTTGGCAACAATTAAAAAAAAACGTTGGCAACACTCCCTTGTTATTGACAAAAAAGATATATATTTTTTTTGTATTTTGAATTATAATTTCGACTCTTTCGGAAAAATAAAAAATATTGTGAAAAATGAAGATTATAAATGCGTTACATATCTTAAGTTCAGGTGATGATGAAGAGAAGAATGTATTAGTAGTGCAGCGGCGAGTGTTAAGGCAGCCAACAAACATAGATGAATTTTAGAAAACCAACTAATAAAAACATACAAAAATAATTTTTACATATTTTTTGCCAGCCATTGGAGTCGACTTCATTTTGCGACGCCGACGATAACCGTAATAGGGCCGAATGTATTTTTTAATCCTATTTTGAACAGATAGGTGGGTAAATACAGCTTGTTTTGTTGCGTTTTTTTGCGTTTCTGGTTGACTTTTTGTTAATTTATAAAAGTTGCGGATTTATTAGAAAGCGTATACAAATTGATAAAAATGTGTTAGTTAAGTTTTATAATAAACTAAAAAATAGAGTAAATAAGTAAAAAATAAAAATATCAGTAAATCAGTAAATTAAAAAAAATGGAAAAAGCTAAATTTACATGGTACAAATTTGGAAATTTTCAAAAAATAAAATCCGTTAAAAATTCTGTTAAAAATCGTAAAAATAGCAAATATAGCCGATGTATTAGCGTCTCTACGACGTGAATCTGCATAGGCTTTGTTTGTCATAAACCATTACCATATTCAAATTCGAATCTTGAAATAAACGGTGAATAATGTAGCTAAAATGATCAAAATACCGTACATAGAGAGGTACCGTTACATCAGAGCTATACGAAGGCCTGGACTTGCATAGACAATTTTCTGTCACAGCCTATAGCATCCATTATGAACTTCAAATAGGACATCTAAAACAATTTCGGTGAGCATTGTACATAAAATCGTCAATATACCGTATATAGGGAGGTATTGATATATGGGGCCTATACGAAGACCTGGACATGCAAATACCCCGAATATACCTCCCGATATGTGGGGGCTATATGAAAACGTGGTCCTACATGGCCCATTTACGAACTTAACCTGCCTACTGGCAAACTATATATGTTTGCAAAATTTTAGCCTTCTACAACAGACAAACGGACAGACAGACGGACATCGCTGAATCGACATAGAATTTTGCGCTGATCAAGAATATATGTACTTTGTTGGGTCTTACATGAGTATTTTGAGTAGTTATAAAAGGAATGACAAAGTTAATATACCCTCCATATTATGGTGGAGGATATAAAAATTGTAAAACCGGTATATTCTTGCAGGTATGAACTTTTTCGATATAAAATTTTACTGCAGGACAATGTAGAATACTTTATGTATATGTGCTGTTTGGTTTCAATTTGAAAAGGATTTTGATTTTTCAACGATTTTCTAGCGATTGCTTGAAGTTTTGGGAGATTTGCACCTAGAGTTAACAACTGTACATTCAGGGGATGATATAGAAGCATTAAAATTAAATATTTTAAGAATTATTCTTCTGTATTTTAAATTTAATAATCCAAATTCCAAAAATTAACATTTTTATACCCTCCACCATACATAGTATGGAGGGTATATTAAGTTCGTCATTCCGTTTGTAACTCATCGAAATAATCATTTTAGACCCAACAATGTATATATATTCTTGATCAGCGTAAAATTTTAAGACTTTTTTAGATTTAGCCCTGTCCGTCCGTCTGTCCGTCTGTTGTAATCACGCTACAGTCTAAAGGAATTAAGATAGGAAGCTAAACTTTTGCACAGATCCCTCTTTTGTCTGCAGGCAGGTCAAGTTCGAAGATGGGCTATATCGGTCCACGATATCGTATAGCCCCCATATAACGGTACCCCCCGATATTCGGTATTTTGAGGATTTTACCCACATTTTTAAACGGAATTGTCTGAAAATCCACACAAGGAGTACCTTATGGGTACTTTATACCTCGGAAGAGAATTATCTATATAGGTCCACGAAATCGTATAGCCCCATATAACGGTACCCCTCGATATTCCGTATTTTGATTATTTTAGCCATATTTTCCTATGGTATTGTCTGAAAATCCACACAAGGAGTTCTTTGTGAACATTTTAACCCCTGAAAAGTAATTGTCTATATAGGTCCACAATATGGTATATCCCCCCTTATATCGGCACCTTCCGATGTTAGATATATTAAACATTTTAACAGAATTTTAATGGATTTTATTTTGGAAATTTTCTAATTCGTTCCAAATAGTGAAGAGTATTCAAAGTTCGGCCCGGCCGAACTTATTGCTTTTTTACTTGTTTTAAAATTAAAATAAGTCGAATATGTGTGTATTATTCAAGATTATATAAAAATTGTTTAGAGAATATTTTCGAATTCAGCAATAACCAATATTTACAAAATTTACACCATTTGTGGCGAAATAAATAAATAAATCTTCAAACAAATGTACCACGATTTCAACAAATCACTTTGCAATAATCGACGTTCACATGCAAATCTAATAGTAAAACAAACAATGAAAATAAAAAAAAAAACTAGGAAGAACACTTCATAACCGCTTATATTTTGTAATTCTTTAACGTGGCGTAATCTCAAAACAAATTTATAGTTTACAAAACACATATTGTATGTCACTACATCTGCACATACAAACTATGTACATCTATTTACATCATACAACGCATGCATGCATTCATGTGTACAGAAGACAGAAAAACATTAGCAATAAGGTTGCACCACCTTCATGGCTGGCACTTCTCCATTTAATTACTTCCCTTATTGGATTCGAACATTCAATGGATTCAAAATACGGCCAGACATTACAGCAACATCCAAATCTCGATCGATTACAAAAAACATAAACGGATGATTTACAGATATGTGTGTCGGCTGTGCTTGAGCTCCGGCATTGCCTGAAAAGAAAAAGACAAAAACAGCGCAACAGATCAACAGAAATGCAAGAAATACTGTTGTACATATAAGTTAAGGCATGTTAACAATTTACAACGAATGGTGTAATTGAGGATGCCTTAAAGGTGTTCAGTGGAGTAATTTAACCAACTTTTGAATGGTGTGCTCAATTGATACTCCAGATGGCGTGTCTTAAGAAGTCTATTAAGAGTTTTTGCTTTCTCATAGTACCGTGGCAATAGAAGTCTTGAAAAAGAGACAAGCTACATTTTACTCTATGCATTTTGATATATATTAAGTATATATGCAGATACAAAGACATCTGTTTGACGCATCTTGTGAGGGCAAGTTAAAGAGGGCAGTTTTGTCTTGAGTCTTGATTTAGAATAGGCAAGTTTACTTGTTGCAATTTATATCGTTGTTTTTTAATCTTGCCTCTTGCATTTCTGTGAGACAATTTTTAATTGTTATAACCGCCACATACATACTAGGTATAGCCTAAGTTTGTCAATTGGTTTGTAACTTATCAAAATAATCATTTTAGACCCAACAAAGTGTACACATTCCTGATCAGCGTATAATTCCAAGCCGATTTAGCCATGTCCGTCTGTTTTAATCACGCTATCTTCCGAAGGCATTGAGAGGAATTGAAATTTGGTACACATGTGTTTTGAGTCTGATCGTAGGTCAAGACTACATCGGTCAACGATTTTCGGAAAAATTTTAACGGAATTTTCTGGAATTTGATTTTTGTTGTTACGGGTTGCTAACACCATGCAAAAACAGTTAAAATAGGTCCACATTGTGATATAACTCTCTCCCCCCATATTATGCAATTGCCTTTGAACTCATTAAAATGAACCAGTGAAATCATTACATCACGTTAAATCATTTCCTTTAATTTTTGCTGATAAATGTATATACATGTTTTTATTTATTACTTACGTCTTAGCTGGTTAATTGGATGTGTACGGATATGTACATTGATGGTTTGTTCAATATGTTTCACATAAGTCCCAGTTTCATCTGTCATAGGTCGAAAATCGGCCCTGTTTGGTTCGAAAATATCGTAAATGCCCATCTGGAAATGAATATCATTTAATTAAAATTCAAGTTTAATGATAAATGCCGCAAGAATTGTTTAAGGATAAATAGTTGTTTGTTGGTGCAAAATAGTCAGTCTTAATTTCATTATTGTTGTTATTATAACCTACAACACTATGTGTTGGGCGTATTATAAGTTTGATTGGGCCAAAATTATATAACACCTCGAAATATTGGTTTCCACACATAAGAAATTTAGAATGAAGATGGGGCTAGAGCCAGAATAGAAGCCTATTTCTTTTGGAGATGATGGCATAATATTTTCGGGTCGAAATGGACCAAAAAAATTCATAATTTTGCAGTTGTTCTACAGGTCGCAATTATAGACCAATCGAAATTAAAGTTAGCATGGGGCTAGAGCTAAGGGCTGGGCAGAAGCCTTCCAATTTTGATGGTCATCGGGTAATATTTAGTGGGTGAAATAGACCATAACATTTGTTAAATAAAAGTCAAAATTTTCATTAAACCGCGAATATTTTTAATCCCGGCGAAATTACAATCAGACGATAGTAAATATATCGGATATATATAGCGAAATATATACAATGTATATAAACAAAGGAAGGGGATGTTAGCTAAAATGTCTTTCTCCTAAGAATAGCTGGACCGATTTTAACAAATTTTATCAATTCAGAATGCCTCTTGGCATAAAAGTATAAAATTTAAAAAAATGATGATGTTAACATAGATTTTGTAGTATTTTGTGACATTTTTTTATTATTTCATATTTTTTATCGCATGCGATTTTTTCAATTTGACTTATAATATTGAAGTGTATATTTTGTAATATTTTTTCACCTTACAACACAGGGTGGGATTATTATATACAGATTGCAATTATCGTCCGATCCTCAGGCCTATTGTTTTCTAAGATGTCCGAAATATATAAGATGTTGGAATGGACCAACAACTAAAAATGTTCCTGATTTTGCAGCCGTTATAAAGGTAACAAATAAAAAAGGACACGAAATCTCGCATGAAGTTAGAGTTTAGGACAGCGGGTAGAATCGACCGCTACTCTTTTGCGAAAAAATAATAACATTACTTACAGGCGGTACCGAAATATTTCGTTGACGAATATAGCCAATATCGCAAAATATTTAGGAGTTCAAATGAACCAAGCAGAGAAAAATCCTGATAACACAATTGAAGCCAATACTGCCTATTTCCTTGTATGTTTCAGAACCTAATTTGTACTATTTTTCAACGTGTAACATTAATATATATTTGTACCAATTTTATAGAAACCTCTAGTAATGTATATGAAACTTTTGTCGATATTTTCCACCAAAGTATGAGCAAGACGAATTTATATATATATATATATATATATATATATATATACATTTATAGAAAAAAAGGACAAATAAAAGTTTGAAAAATCCAAAAATAGGATTTCAAAACTCTATTCCATAGACTTTCCCAGTTAATTATTGCCTAAGCGGTTTAAATCGCCTAACATTGCTAACTATAGGTGTGTCTGGTTACCCTAAAATTTGTAACAATTGTTACAAATTGTTACTGGAAGTCGTCTGTTAACCCGAAAGTTCTGCAAAAGAGAGCGGTTGGAGAGAGAAATTTTGACAGTTCTTTCAGTGAGAGTTTGCAAATTCTTGCTGGACAAATTTCTGCAGGAAAAGTAACCAGACACACCTAATACTAATTTTACAAGTTTTTTAAATAAAAATGTTGGAAATAGTCTTTTATTTTCTTATTACATATTAACATTTACGTTTTTCACATTTTGTAAAGTTGTTCTCCAAAAACAATTAGTCTTGCTAATTCCAAAACAATATTTTCAAATTAAAATCACAAAAAGAAATAAATAAACAATAGAAAACATCTGATTGAATGTCGATGAATGAGAAGAAGAAGAGTTGCAAGAGATTGCAAGAAGAAATTTTTCCAGCAAGAATTTGCAAACTCTCACTGAAAGAACTGTCAAAATTTCTCTCTCCAACCGCTCTCTTTTGCAGAACTTTTGGGTTAACAGACGACTTCCAGTAACAATTTGTAACAATTGTTACAAACTTTAGGGTAACCAGACACACCTATTGGTTCCTTTGTTTTAATTCTCCTTATGGGGGACAAATTGTTTTGTTTTGACAAATCAGCTGATTAGTTGCAAGCTTCTGCAGGAATAGCGTCTGTTTACTTTTCGCATTTTCCTTGCAAAAGAGAATAAAACTACCTTACTCTCTCAGAAAGAAGTTGCTGGACAATTCCTGCTGGAAAAGTAACCAGACACACCATATGTTGTTACGATATCATAACAACAGAGGTATTTTCACAGGGTTGCCATATCTTGACTCTGTCTTGTCCCATCTTTACACTTCTATGTCTTTGTAGTTGATGTGAAAAATATATAGGGGCGCTCCTCACAACAGTGAGATGTTAGCATAAAAATCATATTTACAGAGCAATTTTACGAATAACATTTCCTGTAAACCAAAAAATTGTTCTCAAAATTGCATTCCTTTGACGATTTCAATTAATTGAAAATTGCATTTGCTGTTAAAACAACTTAACATTGGTAACTATGTTGTTACGATATCGTAACAACAGAGCTATTTACACCTGGTGACAATATTTTGAATCTGCCTTGTCCCATCTTTATACTTCTATGTCTTTGGTCTTTACCATTTTAGGTCTTTGGTCTTTACCATTTTAGGTCTTTGTAGTTTTCATTTCACATTTTCATAGAACAATAATTCAGCATCAGGTGTTAAACTCTGTGATTAAACTTGGCCAAATTTGAAAGATTTACACAAGTGAACTACCATCATTATGATTAGCCAGCTTTCAGTAATACAACCTAAAATTGGGATAATACAACATTTTAGAAGTTTATAACGTTTTTTGTTTTTTTTTGTACTTTTTTAGGTTTTAAACAGATATATAACGTTTACAACTTGTGGTCTGAACCTAAAAAATCTGTCAAATGGCCCATCTCTGATATTGGACAGATTTAAATGCGAAATCGAATTACATAAGGGAGATGTATGTAAATGTCTGATGAATGGTAACAACTCACATTTTGTAAATCATTCGTTAGGAATATCGTGCCGTGCAATTTAAAATCAGGTATTATCGCTTGAACCCATTTCGGTTTCAGCTGTTTCCTCAGCAGACGTAGCTTTGGGCCCGATCGAAGAGAGGCGGCAGCTGCAACCAAATCACTATTGTAGTCGGGCAATAATATGATCAAATTGTATTCCGGCGTATCCAGTTCCAATTCTAATACACTCATTTGCAAATGTTCGAAATACTTATAGTAGAGAACGGCGTTGTAAACCTTGAAAGTGGTGTAGATAATTTGCTGGCTGCTGAGATAGAAGACATGCGTTATAACGTCAGCGTTGTAATTTTGTTTGAGTGCCGCTGGCGCCGATCCAATAAGGTTAGGATCGGTATCGACTTCAAACTCATTGTTTACTGGAATGTAAGAGGTGTGCGGCGAAGGATTCAGAGCGGCTATGGGGGTTAAAGAGTGCAGAAATGCATCGCTACTTAATAAATTCACAAAGAGATGCGAGTCTAGGTCTTTCAAACCAAACAAGTGTCGTTTCTTCCGATTCGTCGTCGAAAGGCGTTTTGATTTTCTTTGAGACGGCAAGTAGTTTATTTGAGGTGCTCTCATTAAACGAGGTGCCTGAAGTTTCGCACTGGGTAAGCGTGTGACCCTGGCTTGTTGAATAATTCGTGACAGAGGCTCTGCATTAGCTTCAGCAACAAATGATGAGATTAACTCGGCTGCTTCATTAGTATTTCCAGCTGCAGATGTTGCTGTAGTTGTTTCGTCGGGATTTGTGGTGGCTGCTGCTGTCGTTGTTTCTGTTTCTGTCGGAACAGTTTCGTTTGTGGTTTCTGTTGTGTCGCTGGTACTTATCTGTGTTGTGGTGACTACCTCTGTTGTAGTTGTTGTCTCCGGGAGTGGCGTAGTTGTTGTAGAAAGCAATGTAGTTGTTGGAGCTGTTGTGGTTGTTTCCATTGTTGTTGTATCCTTAATTTCTGCAGTAGTGGTTGGAGTATTGGGTGCCACCGTTGTTGTAATTGGAACTTGCATTGTTGTTGTGGCCACTGTTGTGCCAACTGATGTTGTTGTTACTGTTGTTGTGGGCACTGGCGTAGATGACACCATGTCCATTCCCAAATCGTAGCCATAAAATGTCAGAATCGCTTCGAAATCTCTGGTAATGGTGACATTCTCCTTATTTAGGCTTAGTCCTTTCAATGGATTATCCGACCCGAAGAAATATGTCTGTTCGATGGGAAAGAGGAAAAGAAACAATGTCATTGATAAAACTTATAATTACAAAATGGAAAAAATTTATAATAATTTCAAGGACAAGAACTAAAGAGTGGCTCAAATTAAGTTGTGAAATTAATTAATGGATTGCATCGAATATAAAGTAGTTTTCCAGCCTGTATATTAACCAATATCTTGGTTTTAAGTATAGTGGCGATCTGCTATATTTATAATAGAACCGAAATAGGTTGAAATTCGATTCAAATGAATCGATTTTTTTACACCAATGTTAAATAATGCGATTCAAACGACAACCGAAAACCCCTGGTCCATATGATAAAACATATTTTTTTAGGATTTGTTGCTTAATCCCGATTGACTCAACCAGATCTACCATACAAAAATAGGGTTTCTCACGACCGGATTTATTATAAATCCGTTTCAAAATCTATATAATAAAACATTACTGGATACATGGTAGAATAATACAGGTAGTTGCATCGACACAGCTGCTGGGACAATGAACTGTCAAACCATTTTTGGAATTAACATTTTTGAATGAAAAACTATCAAATTTGTAAACCTCCTTAAAAATGCATATCATAACAACCTCCGATTGATGTCGTATAGGAAAGCATATACAAATCTGCTTTTTTTTTGAAGAAACATTTACAAATTTTTGTCTAACATTGTCCCCAAGCATTGATGCATCTACCTGTATTCTTCTACCATGACTGGGTACGGCACTTACACAGCATTAATATTGCGGTACATTCCAAATTCGAAAATGCTTCTGCAAAGGTGTTCTTTATATTTTGCATCGGAACAATAAGAAACAAGTCAAAAACATTAAGTTCGGCCGGGCCGAACTTTCAATACCCTCCACCTTAGGGAAATGGAAACATTTTTATATAAAAGTATCAGAATTCAAGCGTGTTTCACTTTAAACTTCATATACCAATAAGACCGTTTACATAATGCAGTTAAAAAAAGTTAAATTTGTCAAAAAAAAAAAAAAAAAAAAAAAAAAAATACATAAAGTGAGGCCGTTATTGGGGCCATACCAAAACGGGAACCTCTATAGGCAATTTTATACTACAAGGATTGTCATATATCAAATCTTCTAAAATACCAAATTTTAAACAATTATGTATGTAGGTAAATGTGACTAGGATTTTCAAAACACCGAATATCGGTGGGTATAGTTATATGTGAGCTTTAGAAAACGTGGAACTAAATATTCAATGTTTTGCCACCGGGCTAGAACCCATTATGAACTGCAAATACCAATTTTTATCAAAATATTGAATATCGGGAGGTACCGTTATATGGGGGCTATACCAAAACGTGGACATACAATGTTTCGCCTAGAACCCATTTTGACCAACAAATACCAAGTTTTAGACAAATTCGTTTGAAAATGTGGCAAAAATATCGTGAGGTACCGTTATATGGTGCTATACAACAACGCTGATACATACAATGTTTCGCTACCGGAGCTACAACCCATTATGACTCACAAATACCAATTTTTTGACAAATCCGCGAAAAAATATGGAAAAAATCATTAAAATACCGAATATCGGGAGGTACCGTTATATGGGATCTATACCAAAACGTGGACATATACATACAATGTTTCGCCACCGGAGCAAGAACCCACCATGACCAACAAAGACCAATTTTTAGGCAAATCCGCGACAAAATGTGTCAAAAATCATCAAAATGCCGAAAATCAGGGGGCTATACCAAAACGTGGACCGACGTATCTCATTTTTTAAACACAATACAAATTGTTTTGCCAAATTTCGGTCTACGCCAAATAATGTGGGCTGTATCGTGCTTTCAATGTTGCAAACGGAATGACAAAGTTAATATACCCTCTTTGCCAAGATGGAGGGTATAAAAATGCAAAAACAGGTGTTGGTCCTTTCAACAAATATGTTCTCAGAGAAATTGAGGAATCAATTCTCATTTTCTTATCCCAATATTTTTTTATCAATATTAGATAAAGTTTGGAAATGAAATAATTCGGTCCCATATATTTGATAACTTACGCACATTTCAACATTTTTAAAAAATTATCACATTTCTCACATAAAGTGCAGGAAGTGCAGGAAGTAGACGATAATGTGCAAATCTATTACATTGTAATATTTATATTAAACTTATTTTAATTTTGTTCGTAGATGGATATTGTCGTCTCCCTTCTTCTTACTGGTAATCTTGGGTTTATTACAACTAGTGTTTGCCAAACTGTGATCTGCTCCCTGCCCAAAACGTGTAAATTTTTTACAATAGCGAGTGGGTGAAGATTTTATACCACTGTGTCACACGGAGAAAGACTATCCGCACACTCCGTTCATTTCTCTCCTATATATTTATTCCCCCAGAATTACGATTATGCAACGAATACCATACAACTTTTCAGACACTTTATGACATTACTGGCCAATGTGTTGCGTGAGAACCATGTTTTATACCACTATTTTTAAAACCGATGATGTAATTAAATAAAAACAAGTAAAAAAGCTGTAAGTTCAGCCGGGCCGATCTTTGAACTTATATTAGGGTCTAAACGATGACATGGACCTGCGAAACTTGAAAAACAGTCTGTGAATAATGTAGCGGAAATCATTAAAATAGGGAGGTACTATTATATGGGTGCTATACCAAAATGTGTACCTGTACAGACACTTTTCTGTCATTGGCTGTAGTATCCATTACGATCTTTAAATACCATATTTGAAACAATTCCGGTGAAGGTGTCGCTAAAATTATCAAAATACCGAATATAGGGAGGTACCGTGCTGGGGGGCTATACGAAGACCTGCACAGACAATCTCCTGCCATATGCTGTAGTATCCCTTAGGAACTTCAAATACCAAATTTGAAACAATTCCGATGAATAATGTCGCTAAAATCAACAAAGTACGAATATCGGGAGGTACGGTTGTATGGAGGCTATACGAAGACGTGGGCCTGCACAGACAATTTTCTGTCTTAGGCTGTAGTACCCTTTTCGAACTTCAAATGCCGAATTTAAAAAGTTCCGGTAAATAATGTCGCTAAAATCATAAAAATACGGAATATCGGGAGGTACCGTTATATGTGGGCTATACCAAAACGTGGACCTACATAGGCCATTTTCAATACCAAAAGTCTTACAGACATAATATACTTTAGAGTAAAATTTTATCAATCTACTTCATTTCGTTCGGACATAGCTGAATCGACATAGAATTTTATGCTGATCAAGAAATATATACTTTGGTCTAAAATGTATATTTCGAGGTGTTACAAACGGAATGACAAACCTCATATACCCTCCATACTATGGTGGAGGGTATAAAAAGTATTAAATTATTAATTATGGAAACACTGGCCTATCAAAGCTTTTGAGATTCACGTGAATGTTACTTTATTTTTACAAAAACAAATATCTGAATATCTAATCATTTTCATGAGTTTGTTGTAATGATCTTTAAAAATATTCGATCAAGAGAACTAATTGTGAAATCTATAAACCAATGAGATCGTTTGTTATTTACACCATAAAATACCTAAAATTCGACTATTATACATTTTAGGGTATTTAATTAATTTTTAACACTCACCCTCAATCTACGATGTATATCCCGATAGCCTACACGGATAATATCGCGGTTACTGGGAAGCTGCAACACATTTTTCAGTTCAGTGGAACTTTTTCCCGCTGAACCTTCGTACAGCGCCACCAGGACACTCATCAGCGCAGTCGGTGAAAATGCAAAATTATTTCGATTCAAAATTGAATGGTAGTGCAGGATTCGATAGGCCAAATCGTTTGTCAGGTCCACCATACACTCGGCTGGTGTTAATTCTCTAGCCGGCACATGGACCGGAGGCGGAGGTGGTGGTTGCGGCGGCAGTGGCAATGGTGGCGGCAAATGAGTTCTTGGCAGTCCACTTGAATGGAACTCATGATGACCATTGCCGTCAATATGTATCAGATGTGCCCTGCACGGAATCGGAAAATTCATTGGCAATGGAAATAGTAGAAATGCCACCAAGTAGAGTATTAAACGCACGCAATTGCCTTTGTTGTTGTCGCTTTGTCGCTGCTGATGATTGGCCATAATGGATTGTAATTGTTTAACAATTATTTTACCTGTGCGCTTCCGTTAATAGCTGAAACATAAAATAACCACAAACCGACACACGCACACAGGTAAAAGAGAGATGATTTTTTTGTTTTGATTTTTGTTTTATTAAAAAAGCCAACAATATTTGTTGCCCCAAATAAAATGTCATTCCATGTTTTCAGCCGTTTGCCTGGCACCAACTTTTAATTAGACCGCAATTATTGAAATTTCTTTTTTATGACCTCGAGTCGCAGTGTTTTCTATTAATAGAACCGTTTTCAATGACGATCGCATAATTAATTAACATTTAAAAATGAAACTGCATTTTTGTTGACAAAAAAAAATTATATAACAACAAATGTTCTATTAATTAAGTTGTGATGATTACTTCATAACATTCAGTTTACACTCCAACCAAGGCTCAATTTTTTTTAATAATTTTTATAATCGATCACGAACAAAATTTGAATTTTCTGTTTCCGCTCAATTTAGGGCTGAGCTTTTTGCCAATTGGTGTTGGCTAAATTGGCGCTAATAAGTTAGCCGAGAACCGTTGTCAGTGATTGTTTCATGTGGACTGAAACATTGAATGCTGTGTCGGGAGTACTTGTATGAAATTGGTCAATGGAATGTGGCAAGGGCCTAACACTCATCCGCATACATACATAGATACATAGAAAAGCGTTTTTGCAACTTAACATAGAGTCCATACATTAGGGTTTACCTTCATCATCTATAAAATGCTTAGTTGCTTTATACGGCGGCCGGACGTAATGCCCATTGCAATTATAGGGATTATGACCGGTTTTTTTTTCGGTCATAACTTCCATAATAAAGTGAGGATTATGTCCGCTTCCACAACGGATTATTAAATGTAGTAAATTTGGGTTCGCGTAAGCCGGTGCGGGACATAACCAGAGGAGAAAATTTCAAGCCCCGGCCGAAGGTCGTCTTCTTATAAAATGTATCAAATTAAAAAAAAAAAAAAACATTGGTTTGCATTATCCGGTACGGGGCACACCAAGAGGAGAAAATCTCAAGACCCGGCCGAAGGTCGGTTACATACAGAAAGTTTAAAATTTAGAGAACTTTGGCTTGTGTTAGCCGGTGTCGGACATACCCAGAGGAGAAAATATCAATTATTTCGCACACCTGTTTATATCCGCAATCGTTTTGGACATACCCATTATTATTACGATTTTTCCACAAATTTCTGGGGATTATGAGTGATTTCTTCTTAGACATAACCATTCCATTATGGGGGTCTATAATAAAACGTGGACCTATATATACACATTTCTGAATCCACTAGAATCCGTTATAAACTTTAAGTGTAGAATTTTAAAAAATTCTGTCAGAAAATTTGATTTAAATCATCAAAATACTGAATATTGGAAGGTACTGTTGTATGGGACTATGCGAAATCGTGGAAAGACATAGTCTATTTACGAACTTAACCTACCTACTAACAAGATACACACGTGTGCAAAATTTTAATCTTCTATTTCAATTCTTTCGAAAAATAGACAGACAGGCGAACATCGCTAAATCTACTTAGAACTTTACGCCGATCAAGAATATGTATACTTTGTTGAGTGTAACATGAGTATTTCAAGGAGTTCCAAACGGAAAGGCAAAGCTAATATAGAGGGTATATATTATGGTGGAGGGTATAAAAATGAAAATTCCTGAAAACATATTGCCTTTTACAAATGCAAGAGGCAAGTTCGAAAGGGAACAATAAATTAAATATTGGTGAAAGTAAACGTAACAAATCTGGTAAAGAACATAAAAAACGTTAATAAAGGTATTTTGCACATATATATTTTTTTATTTCAGAATAAAATTTGTATCAAATCATTCTCTGTTTTTTCTTAACAATTTTATTGATAATCTTTAATAAAAAAAAACTTTCACATACCGTACACCCTAATACACTAACGTTTTTGTCTACAATCGTTGGGATCTATTACTCGCTTCAAAGGCAATTACTCGCTTCAATCAAACCAAAAAAAAAGTACATGCAGATGGCTAGGTTAACTATTGAGTAAGTAAGATCAGTTTTTACTTCAAAAAATGTGCCATAGGTCTGTGGAAAATATGTTTTTATTCGTTTGCTTTTAAAATGTTAGCGAAATGAAGTCGTTGGGCTTTGCCAAGATTTACAATAAAAAACAATATTAAAAGAGTTTCATGGAATAAGAAAAAAGTAGGTAAAATTGTGCTCCATTCTAAAACCTGGAAAATTCTACTCTGATTTTGCAGACGGACAGTGCTAAATCGAATCGTAATCTGTGCTTATTTCGAGGAGTTGCAATGAATAATTTGTCCGACGTATATATTGATGTGTTTCAAATGGAATTACAAAGATAAAATGTCCTCCATCTCATGGTGGAGGGTATAAATATAGACATTACAACATATTTGTCATTGTGAGAGGAATATTTTAAAATGGAAAGGTGGCGCAGAAGCACCACCTCCTATCAGGAAATGCTATAAATTTAACGATTGGCCCCCTAATGTCTGGGTTACAGCCAAAAACATTGGAATGTCTGTCAAGTACATATGCATGTAAAAGGTTGCGCAAAAGTAAACTTCTGATGTTCTTTTGGCTGTAATTAAGACATTAGGGGCCAACAATAAAATGTATTGCATTTTTTGATAGGAGGATTTCTTTTGCACCACCTGTAGAAGCGAAAAGGAGAAGAAAAAATTGCAGGTTTTATCCCCATTAAATTTGAGCGAATTTCCAGGACCAGTAACCTTTCTGAAATTTTCATTACAAAGGAAGAGCTAATCGGTCTGTTGTCTTTGTGTAATGTGTGTCTTTGTTTTCGGGCATTTGGAATATAGGCCACCGTCACTTCTTCCCACAGACTGGGCACGAAGCACAAGATACGAAATTTAAAATGAAACGAAATTTTAAATGATTCCGGTAAACAATGTCGTTAAAATCATGAAAATACCGAATATCAGGAAGTATCGTTATATGGGGGCTATACGAAGACGAGGGCCTGCTTACAAATTCTTTGCCATAGGTTGTAGTACCCATTAAGATCTTCCAATACGAAATTTGAAACGATTCCGGTGAATAATGTTGCTGAAATCATCAAAATACCGAATATCGGGAGGTACCGTTATATGGGGGCTATACAAAAATGTTTGTCATAGGTTGTAGTACCCATTATAAACTTTAAATTTGAAAATAATTCTGGTAAATAATGTCGCTAAAGTCATGAAAATATTGAATATCGGTAGGTACCGTTATATGGGGGCTATACGAAAACGTTGGCCCATGGCCCATTTACGAACTTAACCTGCCTATTGGTAAACTATGCATGTATGCAAATTTTTAACCTTCAAATCGTTCGAAAGATAAAGTTATTACAACAGAGAGACGGACAGACAGACAGACGGACATCTTTAGATCTTCTTAGATTTCTACGCTGATCCAGAATATATATAGTTTGTGGGGTCTATTATGAATATTTCGAGGAGTTACAAATGGAATGACAAAGCTTGTATACCTTCCATAGAATGGTGTAATTCGCATTTACAGCCGCCCTTTGACATAGCTTCTTAATCATGTTAGAAGAATACAGGTAGTCGAATTGAGAGAGCCGCTGGGACAATGAAACAATTTTGAAATTGAAATTTTTTAATGAAAAAATATTGAAATTAGTAAAATTTGTTTTGAAGAAACATTAAAAAAATGTTCCCAAGCGTTGATGCATCTACCGTCATTCCTCTACCATGTTCTTAACTAAGGCCATGGTACAATTAAGAAGGTAAAGTCATTTAAAATTTTCACTTTTTGTAGTTTACCTCATCAAGTTTCACTATATAGAACTAATTTATAAATATACGTTTTGAAATTTTTTCAAATAAATAACTTTTAAAATTTTTAAATATACTAAGTCGTTGGTAATGCATTTTGGATTTTACGACTTCGATGCGATATTTTGTTTATTTCAAGAAATACATTATACAAGAAATAACTATTTGACAATTACATAGGTATCATGGTAGAAAAATACAGGTAGATGCATCAACGCTTGGGAGCATTGATATGTCAAAATTATTTTACTTTCTTTTCAAATGTAAGTAGATTTTTATATGTTTTCTAATACAACGTCGTTTGGAGGTTATTATAATGCGTGTTTTTCAACGATTTTTACAAATCTAAATAACTTTTCATTCAACATTTTCAATTCCAAAATTGGTTTGACAGTTCATTGTCCCAGCAGCTGCGTCGATGCGTCTACCTATATTCTTCTACCATGATAGGTATCAACTAAAGTTAGTTTTATTATATTCTGCTATTGCCCAGCGAAAAAAATTGTCTGAATTCGGTCTAAAGGCGAATGAAATTTCCGATTTCGGATGCGTGTTCGGTCCAACCTCTGACCGAATGTTATATGGACTAGTTGATGTGTTTCTTTTGCCGACTTTCGAACCGAACTAGCAAGATCAGCCAGATAAAATCAGCTGATTTACACCGTATTGTCAAAATCCATAATAGAATCAAGAAGGTAAATTAATTTAAGATAAGTATTCTCAGCTCTGCACTATCTATAATTTGCTTTGTCAATTTTAACTGCATAGAAAACAGGCTCCCATCTCTGATTTGTGTATATACAAGAGATTTATGAATAAACATTTGGACAAGGAGATGTTGTCAAAGATATAATTAAAAAAATGTAAACATATGATTGCATGACTTTACCTTCGTAGTTCTACTATGTGAACATACATGCAAAAAAATTTGACAGCATGACGGTTATTTAATCACGATGGTAGTTTTTCGTTGTGCTTTCACTATGATTTCAATCACAATAATGTATTTTGACATAAAATTAGATATTCCGCTGGCTTGGAAGGGGTAATTGTTTGTTGTATTTATTTATAATCCAGTTATAGGCCACACAGAGTTGTTTTCAATAATTGGTTCAAAAATCAAAGATTTTATTTCTCTGATTTCTCTGATATGTATACTTACTTTCTTATTTGATTCTCATATAAAATAAAATTAAATGTATATTTCTTTTTAATTTGTTGCTTCAATCTGCAATTCTTTTTATTTATGTATGTGTGTAGATACTGTAATATATACTTTTTTCTCGTCATTTCAATGAATACATATACTTCATTTACACATCTGTTCTGTAGATTATGTAGATAGATTTGCTTTTCTCTTTTCTTTTAAATATTTTCAACTTTGTTCCATATCTTTGAATTTAACATCTATATTAAAATTTTGTCTGGTAGCTTAAAGTGGTACTATGTTCGTATGTATGTATATGGGGATTTGTATTTTGTTTTATTTTTTTTCATATATATATATTTTTTTTTTGTATTATGTATTGTAGTTTGTTATGTATGTATGTTCATATTTTTTTTTGTAGGGTAGGCTTGCATGTACAGTAGATATATTATTATGTATATATTATTTGTTTCTATGTTCATATTTTATGATTAAAAAACGGTATTTGGATATTTTTGTTATATACTTATTTTGTTGTTGTATAAACGTTTGATGTACATACAAACGCATGTGTTTGTATTTTTTATTTATTTTTTCAA